ATCCTAAAAAATAAATAAAATTGTATTTGATGATATGTATTCTTAGCAAAGAAATAGTAAAATGTGATACCCCCGGATTTCTGAATACGGGTTGGCCAGGCCCACGCCCGAATACCTGAGGATATCAAAACAAATTGATAATAAACGAACACAGAGTACAAAAGAATAAAGAAGAATAAATAAAATGCTGACAATAAACTAAAATGATAATCTAATAATAAACCTCAGAATATATTTCCATTAGTTAATAAACTCTTCTGATACAACTGATCCTCCAAAATACAACTCGGGAATCCATACTGTGTGGACCCCAAGGAAATCCAAACTAAACAAATGATAGCAATAACTGCCTAAATCAGGAAACTGAATCATAAAGGAACTCCTATGTAACATCGGAATAATGAAGTAGACTAATCCTCGCTCAGCACGAATGACCTCTACTCCTGACGAACACCTGAAAAATAATGGTGGGTCAGGCCCACAAACAAGTTCTACTTTACTACAGTCCAAGCAGAGATCCGATACACGTATACATCCTAGTCAATCTAACAGTGACTAGTAGTCCGTATATATATATATATACACACACACACACTGAATGAACCTCACTAGACTATAGGGTTGTCTCAACCTGAACAGTAGGTAACACGCAAAACACACATATAGTGGGCATGAGTACCTAGACATATCAGGGTACACAACTACACTATATCTAGCTACACATCCCTGGCGATATACGCGTCCTAACCACTGATCCTGAAACTCAAACTCATATCATGGCACTATACTTATATATATATAATCTAGTAACCATCCTATCCAGTATAAATTAATCCTCCATAAGTCATTCAACTTGTTCAGCTGACCTGACTTGAATATAAGTAGGACTTAACATTTTAGTTAATCCATTCCCTTATATAATAAATTAATCCTCCATAAGTCATTCAACTTGTTCAGCTGACCTGACTTGAATATAAGTAGAACTTAACATTTTAGTTAATCCATTCCCTTGTATAAAATAGGTAGGACTTAACTGATAAGTTAATCCGTTCCTAGAATGCCACCGTCCCATACCGGTGCATTAAACCACACAATCCAACAATTGATGTAATAATTAAGGAAATACATCAAACATTCTAGAAATAACTATGATAATATGATATCAAGTTATCACATAATAGGAATGACTTATTATTTATTTAAGCTTCCTATATCATATATCCTACAAAAACTGAATCTTATACATGATGATATTTTATTATACCGTTAGATAAGCATTCTCCATATCCAATTCATCCTACACATTTAATCTCAATTGCTAAAACATTTTTAAAAGATTATATCTATTCATTTGTTTAAAACATTCAAATAGAAAACATCATTATGATTGAGTCTATTTAAATTTATTTAAACCCAAACCTAGTTTCTTTTTAATGTTCAGGAATCCTAGGCATGTTTCTACGTTCCATCATTCCACATATATGAAAAATACATAACGTAAACATATAAAAATTCACACCGGAAATCAAATCAAAATCATGCATTTATCAATTTATAACACAAGAACATATATGAACCAATTTCATAAAACCTATGTTCTAATCCAATTAAACATGCATAATTATTTAATTTTAAGTGTTTAATAAATACTGGAATTTCCTAGGCGTGTACAGAAATACGAATCAAAGGGAAAGAGATAGAAGAATAACTTGCCTTAAACTTTCGGATTGAAAGTTAAACTTCTTCTTCCTTGATCTTCTCTTTAAAGGGTTTTCTCCTCCTTCCTTACTCTTCATCCTCCTTAAACTTTCGGATTGAAAGTTAAACTTCTTCTTCCTTGATCTTCTCTCTAAAGGGTTTTCTCCTCCTTCCTTACTCTTCATCCTTATCTCCTTAACTCTCTCTCTCTAAAATATATTACGTGATATATTTTCACTCATTTTTCAACATATAGTTGTATATTTATAGGCTAAATAATAACCCTATTCATTTTCCCAATCTAAATTAACTTAATAAAAAAAATAAAAAATGAAAATATTAAAAAGGTAACTTAAAATATGTTATATATATAATCTATGTATATCCTTAATAATTAAATAAAATATATACATTAGATTATTTATTAATACTAAAGTTACCATAATATTAAAAAAGTAACTTAAAACATGTTACGTATATAATCTATTTATATCCTCATTAAATAAATAAAATATATATATCAGATTATTTATTTATACTAAAATTACCATAATATTAAAAAGTAACTTAAAACATGCTACGTATATAATCTATCTATATCCTCATTAAATAAATAAAATATATACATCAGATTATTTATTTATACTAAAGTTACCATAATATTAAAAAGGTAACTTAAAACATGTTACGTATAAAATATATGTATATCCTTATTATATAAATATATAAAATATATACATCAGATTATTTATTAATACTAAAGTTACTATAATATTAACAAATTACTTTCCTTTTTATATATATGTATATACATATATATCTATATGTACACATATACAACTATCCATGGGTAATTATCCATACCCATCCAACCTCCTATCCAAGTAGTCCATGGGATCCAATTAGTTAGCCCATTACCACTAACTATAACCATAAAATAAAATAAAATAAAACATTTAAATATTTAATTTACAATTAATTACAATTAATCAAATACACACAATCTAATTAAATAAACAATACCAATAACATCTAGACAAAATACAAATAACACATAGATAAGTAGCCAATTAACCAAGTAACACTTAATTCAATTAAACACATAAACAATTAGTCAAATAATCAATTAAACAATTAAAAAAATATAATAAAAATAAATAAATTAATATCGAGACTATCCTTTTAAAATTAGAGGTATTACATAAAATAATAAATTTTTAAATTTAATAATATAATTATTTATATTTAAAACAAGACTTCATAATATGGACAATACTTGCCAAAATTACCCTTACAATTTAAAATCCTAAAAAAAAATGAAATTGTATTTGATGATGTGTATTCTTAGTAAAGAAATAGTAAAATAATGAATTTTTAAATTTAATAATATAATTATTTATATTTAAAACAAGACTTCATAATATGGACAATACTCGCCTGCTCGCTGGTGAGTTGAAAATTCTTACTTACCATCGACGTGGCCTAAAAATGAGATGACAAGTGTATTGTCAATTAAAATAAATAAAAAATAAAAATCTGAAATGCATTCGGATTAAACCCAAATAAAAACCCGATCCAAATTGAATCCCTAATTCCTTCCCATCTCTCTCAATATTCTAGTCAAAGATAGATGAACAGCCTCCAATCCCCTCTCATAAATGCTACCCTAGCCGAGGGCAGCGAACAACCCCCAAATCACTCTAACTCATCAGAGACTTACAGTCCCATTAGGCTTTCCACCATCAATCCTTCACTACCGACACCCAATTTCCTGTTGCTACTCCTTTTCGGTTCTCCTTTGTTTGGCATTTGAGAAAGTTTCTAAAAAATTAAAAGAGAATCAATTTCTAAATCTGATTTTTTTTTTTCTTCCATAGTAATCGCTTCAACTGATATTAGGCTTGTTTGGTTTATATTTTCCTACGTCTCAATACAATGTTTTAATGTAAAACATTTAAAATTTCAAAAAAATTCCCACATTTTCTCAGGAAACGAATATAGCTAAAGTTTGAATACTTAGAATTTCATATCTCATAACTGGTTCTTTAAGGTTGAACCTTATGCTTTTTAAAGTATTAGCCTATCAAAATTACACATCAGACGATTTGAAAGTTGGGGGCAGAGCCAAAAAAGAAGAAGAAGTAATTATACAAGTAATCACAATCCATCTTATTCTTCTGTCCATAAAGATCTGGATGATGGTGAAGAGTTTGAATAAAATTCAAACTATTAGGATCCATCTTCTGAACCACAAAATGGCCCAACGAGACTCAACCAATAGAATTTGTAGGTTGTCTTCTACTAGAGTAGCAAGAGAGATTGCAGTCTTTAGTTGACTTTGGCTAGAGCAGCGTAAGAGAGACGGGGCAGATAATTAGGGATTTAATTTGGATCCAGTTTGCTATCTGGTTTACTTTGAATAGATTTTAATTTTTTATTTATTTTAATTGACAGTACACTTGTCGTTTCATTTTTGCGCCAGGTGGATGGTAAGTAGAAATTTTCTACTCACGGGTAAGTAGACAAGTATTGTTCTCATAATATTGTATGAGGTAGAAATAAAACTAATTATTAGTTTAAAAGAAATCAAAGTTAAAAAAACACGGAGATGTATTGATGGCAATATTAATTTTTTTTATAGAGAGAATTGATTATATGTTGTTGTTGCAAATTATATATGAACTTATTGAAAAATAAAGAAAGGTGAAAAAAAAACAAAGAAAGAGTTATTTTGTAGAGGTCTCTTATAAATCTAATAAAAAAATAAAGAAATATATTGTTTTGCATTATTAAGTTATTAAGTAAAATAGGAATGTCAAACAAGAAGGCAATCATTTCACGAAAAATATTATTTTCATGTATCTTGTACGGGAAAAGTTTTGGAAGAAAATAGGCAAGTACGGAAACCAAAATTTTCATGATTATTTTTCTTTTCTTTATTTTCTAGTTGATTATATACCGGACCAAATGAAATCTTATGAATAGAATGACTATTGTATAGGTTTCATTCCAATACAACGATGTTACCATATTTAATAAAAAAAAATTAAACATTTTAGTGTGTCCTGCTATACAAACAAGACCCTGTTTTCTCATACCCGCCCAAACTCTGTTGGATATTCCAATATTATCTATACGGAGCGTTAGGACAGGATCCGAATGGGTCGTTTTGTCGTTTCTAGTGTAGCCCAAACAAAATCCGGATTAATTATTCATAATCAGGTCTACAACCGGTGACATCTCGAAAACTACCGGCTACAACCAGTTGAAAAATCTCAAACCCTAAAATAAATCCAAATCGGGTGAACCGCGGCCCAGTGAGGGTTCCGCAATCTCAAGCCAAGCACGCTTCTGTTTGATACTCTACAACTATATATATATATATATATTATATCTCCGTCGAATCATCGGTTTGGTCTTCTTCGATTAGGTTATCCCATCGTCAGGTACGATTCTTTCATATAGACTGACACTACATAATTTCTTATATTTTTCTGTTTTGTCTGCTAATCGCTGCGAGAATTTTTTGTTCTTTTGATTTTTGTTTGTAATATTGCCCTATTTCGTTTGTTATACTTTCTGCGATTTAATTTTTTCATCTTTTTGCGAATGATTCAAACAAATATTGGATTTTTATTTGATGAATTTAAAGCTAGTTATAGGGTTTTTGCCTTTCGTATGCCTCTCTTTTTTCGTTTTTCTTCGGGTTTGTGTTTGTTTCAGTTATTAAGGTTCTGTTTCATTCTCAAGCTAAGTCAGAAATTAGACTTTCTAGGGTTTGGGGTTCTTACTCAACTCACTATATCGGTAGTCTTTCATATCTCTTCTTGTTTTTCTGTTTCAATTTGTAAAGAGTTTATCTTTTTGTCATCTTCGATACGTAATTTTAATACAAAATCTTTCTCTCCTCTCTATTGAGCACGGATTTCATTTGGTTTTTCTGGATTGATAAGATAGACAAATGAAAGTTTTTGTATCTCAGAAATTATTTGCAGCCTAACAAAACTAAACATTCACTGAACTGAGACCACCGTACACATTAATACTAAGCATTCATTGAAAGTTTTTGCGCTCCTAATATATATTTTTTCCATGTGTTATCTTAGACCTAATGGGTCAGTTTGCCTTGATTAAGACTTGTTTATTGTACCTTTAGGAGCAATTTCACATACCAGAATGGGAGAGACTGGGAAACGATCTCGCTCACACAGGGACCATGATGGGGATAACAAGAACCAAAAGAAACGGGCAACTGGTAGAGATGAAAAAGGTAACGATGAATTGATAGTTTATAGGATACTATGCCCAGATGGGCTTATTGGTAGTGTGATTGGAAAGAGCGGAAAAGTGATAAATTCAATAAGGCAAGAGTCGAGAGCCAAGATCAGAGTGGTGGATCCTTTTCCCGGTTCTAAAGATAGGGTCATTACTATCTACTGCTATGTTAAGGACAAGGAGGAAGTTGAGGTCGATGAGGAATTTGATGATAAGGGGCCTCTCTGCCCGGCTCAGGACGCTCTTCTGAAGGTGCATGCAGCAATTTCCAATGCAGGTGCTTCTGTCGGGGATTCTGACAAGAAGCGTAAAGATAAGGAGGAGTGTCAAATTCTTGTCCCATCTAGCCAGTCGGCAAATATTATTGGGAAGTCTGGGGCTACAATAAAGAAATTGAGAAGCAAGACAAGGACAAACATTAAGGTTACTGCAAAGGATGCAAGCGATCCCACTCATTCTTGTGCTATGGATTTTGACAATTTTGTTCAGGTGAGTTGTTTTTGCCATAAACTTTACATTAAGTTCGATATAGAGGACTTTTGGTAGTAAATGCGTTTTAATCAAACATTATTTATACAGTCAGGTTTGAATTTTCGTTACTTTGTAAATGACCATTTGTCATAAGCAGTGTTATGTTTCTCTGTTGGTAATTGGTGTAAAATTGTTAATTTTGTATAATATGTCAACAATCTTGCATGATTGTGCTAAGTGAGTCTTACCCATCTCTAATTTACTTTGTTCTGTATTTTGATTGAAAAAAATATATTCTATTTTTGTTATTTTTTGGAAGTTATTTATTTTTGTTATATTTGTATTGTTTGTGATGATTTTTTTTTGTTTAAATAGATATCGGGTGATCCGGAATCAGTGAAGATGGCTTTGTTTGCAGTTTCTGCAATTATGTACAAGTTCACCCCAAAGGAAGTGATTCCTCTAGATACAACTGTACCAGAAGCCCCTCCGAGCATCATTATTCCTTCTGATGTTCCTATTTATCCTGGTGGTGGGCTTTATCCAAGTGTTGATCCTATGGTCCCTTCTAGATCTGTTCCTTCCATCCTAGGTGCCACACATGTACAGGAACTTCCAGGTTATGCTGATGCAGGGAGCACATGGCCAATTTATTCATCAGCACTGCCTGTGGTTTCTGGTTATGGCGGTGCTTCCCGATCAGAGGAGTTAATTATAAGAGTTTTGTGTCCCTTTGATAAGATTGGTCGTGTTATTGGCAAGGGAGGGAGTTCAATCAAAAGTGTAAGGCAAGCTAGCGGTGCTCGTGTCGAGGTTGATGATAAAAGGGAAGATCGTGATGAGTGTATAATTACTGTTAACTCAACAGAGGTATGGCCATGTCTTCTTCAGTTAATTTTTTACCTTCTGACTTATTCAAGTGCCGAAAACTCATTGGGATGACAGCAAGCATCTGCTTTGCTTTTAAAATCTTATTTTCTTGCCTACTTTATGCAACTTCTGCATCAAAGCACGCAGATTTAGTTTCTTTTTTATACATATATCTTCTGATTGTAAGCTATATAGTCATTTGTTCTCACGAGTACATGTTCTTGTAAACTGTGTTCACACAAAAATCCAGAGTTAAATATTTTTAACACATTGATATTGTTAGAGTCGATGAAATGCATGCCTCGTGGTTTGCCACAATTTTTTTAACTTGCTGGGTAGGAACTCAGGTTGCTTTGAACTCCCGAACATCTGATGCAAATATATTTCTTCTTGTTCTAGAAATTCCGTGGCATTTATGCTTGGGTCATTTATCTTATCTGATATATCTATTACATGAGTACTAACCTAAATGGGCATCCAAATACTAGCTGTGATGTTGGGTCAGGTCAAGGACTGTTTTTACACCTGCTATGCTTTGTTTTCCTCTTTCCAAGTGCCTTGATTTGTTGGATGTATAATTTTGTGCAGTCTCTGGATGACCTGAAGTCCATGGCAGTTGAAGCTGTTCTATTGCTACAAGGGAAGATAAATGACGATGATGATGACACTGTAAACATCCGTCTCCTTGTTCCATCTAAAGTTATTGGGTGTATTATTGGAAAAAGCGGTTCAATCATTAATGAAATCCGGAAGAGAACTAAAGCTGATGTCCGCATCTCCAAAGGCGATAAGCCTAAGTGTGCTGATGTCAATGATGAACTGGTTGAGGTCTGTTTCATTCAATTTCTCTAATTTTTGTAGTTGAATTATTTCTTTTTATCATGTATAGGGCTTTTACCTTTATATTCTTACCAGGCCTTTTCTTTTACACATTTAGGTGATTGGAGAAGTTGGTAGTGTGAGGGATGCACTTATTCAGATTGTTTTGAGGCTCCGTGATGATGTCTTAAAAGATAGGGAAAGTGGTCGTAACCCTTCTGCAGGTGCTGATTCTCTGTATTCTGGTGCTAGTGGTCTTTCATTACCTCCTGTTTTACCGAGTGTTCCCCCTGTTGCTCGAATGGGATATGAGCAGAGGGCTGAAACTGGCAGTGGCCTGGGTATGGTTTCTTCAGGCAGCCTCTATGGATATGAATCTTTATCGGTATGTAATTTTTGTTCTCTTTTTCTTTTTATAGTTATAATTTTTGCATGCAACTTCTTTGCTATTTCATAACTGTAATGGGGTTTTTATTTTCTTTCTTTCTTATTTATTAAATGGAACTGCATGTTGATTTATTCAGGGAGAGTATAGTTTGAAGAGTATGGTAGAATTCTTTCTAAAGACATCTTGTTTGTAGACAACCTCAATCAAAATAATCAAATACTGATTAATTCCTAATCGATAGAGTTTTATTTAGAAAATGGCTCTTTTGCTCTTAAATGAAATTTCTTAGACGTTGTTATCAGTAGTTGCTAAGAAAATGGAAAATTTTAATCTCTTTGTGGTTCTGTTAATTTATTCATTATTTTACCTGTTCACTTTTTTTTTTTTACTCTCTCTCTCTCTCTCTCTCTCAATCCGGGAAATTCTTTATATCTTTTTTATTTTGATGTGGACAGTAAGAATACTAAGAATTGAACTGTATCCACCTTTTACTTTTAATGCCATGATAGCACTTAACCACCGTACTTCTTATTTTATGAATTTTTAATTTACTTTTTATTTTATAAGTCTTTACAGTGATTTTGTACATAAAGAAAACTTTTTTCTGACATCGATTTTATCTTGTTCATTTATGATTTTTTTATTTTATGAAATTATACACGTGTATAAAATGCTCAATGTCGGTATCAGAAGTGTTATAGCCTTATAGGTGAAGGTGTCTAACACGTCCAACATGGATAAGCTCCTTGTATAAATGTTCTTGTTACTTAGATTCGTCGGAGGTTCTATGCTTCAATGTCAATTTGAATTCCTTTTCCTTTAGTTTTGAGTTATTTGGGCAAGTTATTGTTCGCAGTAATTATTTCATTAAACAAAAATAATGCAAAGAGGTATTTGTTTTTTAGTTTTTTTTGTTTGTTTTGTTTTTTTTTTTTTTTTTTTCTTCATGTTGTTTTCACCAATTTTAAATTCAAACCACGTAGAGGGGAATGGGAATATATCTTGATTCTCTTGTTTTTGTTTACTGGTTAATATTTTGGTGTTCTTCTGCTAATAAATGTAGATTGAAGGAAACGCATTGTGAAATATTTATTTTGTCTCAATTCTGGTTAAGTTATTTTGACGTCAGTTATTTGTCAAATGACGTTTTTCCGTTTGTGCTCCTCAATGGCAAAATAATTCTCTTATAATGATGAATGTATCTGATTCCCTCTTCAATTGGGAATCAGTTCACAACAATTTTGATATGGTTGCTTGCCTGCTTGTATTTTGTTTCTTTTTCCTGGTCATTTTTGAATTCTTTTCTTCATGAATCTGTAAGCATTTTTTTAAAACTGGCTGTTCTTCTTTTTGAAAGATGGGTGAGAACGACTATGGATCTCTGTCCTCATATTCGTCAAAGCTGTATGGAGGGTTAGTAATTATTCCTATTAGCTTCTCATCTGGACTTGGTTTTTACGGTATAAGTACTACTTATTTGACTTTGTTGTCTTCATATGCCTCTGTAAGCAGATTGCCTCCTCCCTCGTCTCTTGAGATTGTGGTTCCTGCACATGCTGTCGGTAAAGTAATGGGTAAAGGTGGGGCAAATATTGCAAACATCCGCAAGGTAGGTCCTCTTTCCTTCCCACACATTTTTTAGTTGATTAGTAGTGCAATACTATTATTTTGCTTTTAGATGGAGCATATATTTTGGTTGGCAGTCTATGACTGTCAAGTTACTTAAAAATTGTAAACTTTGGATTTTGCTTTGTTTAACCATCATGGATATCTGCTGTACTGTAGATTTGATCTTTTGACCATTGTACTATATAATGGCAATTCTTCTAATATCTAGGAGGTGTAGGTCTAACATCCTTGAAATATAACTTGGTTGACTTGGGACACTCAGATCATGTTGAACGTCTTGTGATACTTTTGACTTGTTTCGTGTTTGATGATGTCGATACCTTTTTAAGTATTTGCACTGGGATGTCAAGTATTTATTAGATCCAATATTAGCTATTTCTGGATGAATTACTGTTTTGCTACAAGACCACATACTTTATGGGTCTTTGTTTACTTGGGGGAGCTCAGAGTGTGGCACAGTTTTTTTATTTTTGTTTTTTCATGAGATTATGGAAATATACTTTGTTATGTCTTGCATAGGGCTTTTTAGGGGTAGGGTTCTGACCAGACTTTGTGATTCTAATCTGATAAATCAAGGGGAAATTGTAATATGGGCCAGTAAGATACCCATCAGAATTTGAATCTTGCTCAGTCTTCTATTGAATAATTAGAGTGTGAGTCAATTAATGTACTGTTCATCCCTTTTCAAGTGTACAGTAGTTTTGGGACAGAGTACCAATGTGTTACATATATATATATATGAGAGAGAGAGAGAGAGCAAATAATAAAATGAAACACATTTTCAAATCGAATTTGATCTACTCACCAAAAAAACCTAAAAACCACTATAATATATATCCTTTTTTTGTTTATGCAGACTAGATTATTTACGAGTATTCAGTCCATCAACTATAATGATCATTCAGACTGGATCTCTGTCAGTGTTGTTTTCTAGAGCATCCTACTCCACATATCGAGAATGGTTGAAGTTGTTTCAACATCAAATCTTGCTGCACTAATTTGAATGGAATCTTATCCCCCTCATTTGCTTTCTTTGGTGCACAAGGACATTAGTAATATTGAGGAATTTCCTTTAAAATGGTGGCTGATGTAAGCAGGGTACCTACATTCAAATTTCAACAGATTTGCCATTTAGTCAATAACACGCCCTGGGACACGAAACCTTGCTCCTCCTCTTGCATTTCCACTGCCTGAGTTCTTCTTTGTGTCCAGCCATATTCTAAAGCTGGTCGACACTGGCTGTAATGGTTGAAAGTAGTGGGTAACCAAGACCCTTCATAGAGCTTGTTTGATAAAGCAAACAAAGGGCCTGTCCTAATTTAACACGAAGTGACAATGTGTTACTATTTTTCTATCTAATGTATTGAAGGTGGAGGGAGATTAGGAAAAGAGGGTTCATTTAAATAACAGAATAGCAACTTTTTTCTTTTCTTTTGCTAGAGGAGGTTTTTTTTTTTTTTTTTTTTTTTTTTTTTTTTTTTTTTCATAGATACTGCTGGCAAAATCGTGGAAGTTGTTTAGATGGAACATGCTTATGCTTTGCAATTTGATTTAACTTGAACCCTTCTCAATACAAATTGCTAAGCTATTCCTGTAAAGCAAAAATTTTAATGAATCCAAGTGAGTTAAAATAAGACTCGAACATTTTTGAATTCAGAAGCAATTCACTTGTCGTAAAAAAGAAATACTCAGTGTTGTTTCTCACCTCCCATACAGAAAAAGCTTCCTAAAACCCTGTTTTGCACAAGAATAATCAAAGATAATGGTGTCAAAGATTTTTTAAATCCCTGTTATGCACTTCATATTTTTGTTATTTCTGTGTACTGTTAAATGATGTGATTTTCACAATTTGGAAAGATGTGATATTAAATCACAATTTTAATACCTGTTTGAGAACTGCGGTGGATTTAATTTTTATTGAGCTTTAAGTCACCTGAATAAATTTTGGAACTCTTTATCAAATGTCATTCTCACTGGCACTTGTTTCTCTTCCAGATATCTGGAGCAGCCATAGAGATCTCTGATTCCAAATCTTCCCGGGGTGATCGAGTGGCTCTAATATCTGGCACACCTGAGCAGAAGCGTGCAGCTGAGAACTTGATTCAGGCGTTTATAATGGCCACCTAAGTACGATGCTGCTTCCTGGTGTTTGAAGGTGAACCTAGCTTAAACCTTGTGGCCCTCCTCAAATGTTTCTCTCTATAGTTCCGCTAGGTTTTGTCATGGAGAGGGCTTCATTATCTAGGCTTCTTCTGCTGGACTCTTGTTTCTTCCCCAACAGTTTCTGTAAAGATTATGCTGGAAGACTCACTGCTAGCTCTATTTTTCAGGGGATATAGGTTCTGTCAGTGTTGCTTAATCTATTCTTCCTCTGCGGTTGTCATAGAACTTAATAGGATCTTTTCTTTCCTTTCGTAGTGTTTATCGATCCTTATCCTGGGTTAGTGTGGTTTCCATCTTATTTCCATTGTTACTATGCTCTATAAATGATTTCCTACCAGAGTTTTTTCAGTAATGACCATAATTGTCAAACTCATGCATATGAATGATTTAATTTTTGCTCTTCCAATCCCCTTGCACTCAGCTCTTAATTGGAAGGATCTTCTCTACCAATAGTGCATGGTGCAAGTCGCAACGTGGTTGGTTATTTTCTCTTCTTCTTGATACTCTCCTGCTTGGTTGACATTTAACGATCAGTTTCGTGAAAAAGGGTATCAGTTTCCTGAAATCAATGAACTACATCAATATTTTGGATTTTTTTTCTTGACCTGGGTATGTGAAGTGCCATTGCTAAATTGGAATCATGAATATTGCAGTTTTCTTAAAACCTACTGATTCTTTGGCTTCTTGGGAAGTCCCTACTGGCAGTTGCTACATTAAATCTATTGTTGTGCCTCATGCAAAATTCAGTTCTTGATCTTGAAATCCAGTCTGGCTGGTTTGAATAATGGTCTCTTTAGATTAGGAATCGTTTTAATCTTTTTGATTCTTAGTAGGTCATTTGATTCGAGTGACAACCTATGAGAGTTTATTTATTTGTGGTTGTCAAATTATCTTTATGACAAACTGAGCAGCCCCCTACTTTCTCTCTCTCCCCCCTTGTTTATGATGAGGCATGTGTCGCTTGGAGCTGTAATGATAGGTCCCATTAGCCACCCTCCTTATCTGTTCTCCTTTGCACCCTTTTGTGGCTCAAATCTTTGAAATGAACTAGTACTGGGAAGTTATTTCTGTACCTAAGATGAATAGATTACCTAAATTTCTTATTTTGAAACAAAATGCTTCTACCATTGTGCCATTGGTCTAGGTGGTAGAACCTCCTCCCCACAGGGTTCACCAAGTGTGGCAAAATTGCGTGGGTGCGTCAGTTACTTACCTAGCCAAAAGAAAAAGAAGAAAAGGACGCCCTCCTAATTAAGACTCACCAATTCATCTTATTTTTAGAGGCCAATAAGAAACCGTTTTATTGATATTTTATACCTTGTCTCCATTTTTTCTAAATCCTTAGTTATGGATATGAACCTTAATAGGTCCATATCTACAGTATTTGTAATGTATTGCTAGCATATCCTTATTTTAGATCCTTGAATAATCCCTTTGACTGGTTTTACATTTAAGATAATCATCTCATCTCATTGAGGATGAATCAGTTGGATGATTCTTTTCATCAATCTTTCTGTCTGTCTCATATGCAGCCAAGTTTGAAACAATATCGGTAGATACACAACCATCTTTTTAACACTCAATTTTTTTTTTTTAACCTGATTATGCAGGATAGGCAGAGTCTAAGTTCTGTGACTAGGAAAACATTACCGATAGTTACTGTTATGTCGTTGCCTTTTTGGCAGCATAGTTGTATGTTTTTCAACTCATAGGAAGCAGTGGAGTTGTCAATGTTCCATGAAGTTCTGCTTAATTATGATAGCAAAGCATGCCTGATCCGGGCTGTATCATTTCTCCGTCCATCCCTATCAATTTGTCTAGAACTACTGTAGACATGAATAGTATCCTTCATTCTGCTAATCAGGATGCTTGGAATCTAGTTGGACCTAAATAAAGATTTAATTCTTTTGAGTGATCTGACGATAATTTTTTCCCTTTACTCAATCAAGGTATTATCTAAATTCAATGCTTCATCTCAGCAATCATTATCTATTCGTCAATATTCTCAATTTTCAAATTATTCAACCATTTATTTTACCAATTTCAATGTTAGCCTGATTAGTTGACATATACATGTTTCCCATTCTAGGTACTAGTCTAATGGCTTGTTTTGGGCAAATATTACTAGTGTTTATCTACCCTCTCCTTCTAGTGTTTCCACCTATATTACCCATTCTATGATCGATAGTGTATTACTAATGAAGATATTGCTCCATTCTACTGTAGTGCCTTGCCCCAACATTTTAGCATTACATTAAATTTGTCTGCCTTGCAAGTATTAGTCCATTAGGTAATGTTTGTACAGATGTCAAGGAAGTTTTTGTGGAACATTTTTCGGTGCTTTCGGAAAAATTCCAGTGCGTCATACGGGCTTTGCTTTTGCATTTCTCAAATAACCAATAGATGCTCAGTCTTAATGTTCATCTAATTATCATTCCGAATCCTTTCATTTACTGGTGCTTTTTGCCCGAACTTTCCTAATGCTTTTCTCTCCCCTTTAAATCAAAACAATTTCTGATTGTGGGTGTATTTTCAACCATTTAACTTGATGTGCTGTAACCTACACTGAGGTCTTATTTTGGGGGCTGCGGATGCTACGAGGGGGAGATTTTGTTGCATTTGTTTTTCTCTCTGATGGTACTGAGTTAATTGCTTCCTTTGGAAAATGATTGGAAAGATTGGTGATTGTACTTAATTCCGTATTCGAAGTGTCGATTTTGCCGGTTATTGTTGGGATCTGCTGTCCTATTTTGATGTTTGAGTGATGAAGTTGACTTGTTTTGGAAGCTGTATATTGTGTTGGATACTATGATGAGCCACTTTGCAAGCTGTAGAGACAAATTTGTATTTGATTTTTTGAGGATAAGAATGGGGAAGAGTTTGTTGGTTGCGATGAGCTGTAGAATATAGTGTGTTGCTTAATGTTTTTATTACAATTAGAGTTGCTTTCTAATATTCTATTAGGAGATGTGATCTTCTGTCTTGGAAATTTCCCCCGGGAAATATTGTTCTTGTTTGCGCTTATATATTTGAATATGTTTGTTATCATGTTTTTGACTATGATGATACTAGACCTCTCAAATCTACACGGGGCTAGCCCTATACCTGTTATGAGTTATAATTTTGGTAGTGTGGTTACTGTTCATATCAACATTTTTTAACACTTCGGGTTGCTAATTGTCAATTGTATTATACTATTTTTGACGAGGTCCCGAGCACTGAAAATTTATTATATGCTTCGGTCAATTATAATTACAATTTGACATGTAGGCATAGATATATTTGCTTTGCTTGTCTAATTGTGATTGGCGGGACTATTAAGTCATGGACTATGTAATAATTTTTCGATAGCATCTTTCTATTGGGTGAGTTGTTGAGAGTTGTTTTAATTTTAGTGGAACCTTGAAGTTGATTGATGCGCATATGCTTCAAATTAATGATGTTGCATGTCAATTCATCCAATATATATATATATATATTCTCACGACTCAACTCAACGGAGAGCGAAGGTGAGTGGGAGCGCAAAAGCAATGGTATTATTGTTTCAATATTTGTACATATGCTAAAGTAAGAAATAATAAATTTTGTAGAATAATAGAAATGTAATTTCACAAACACTACAAAATGTACATGTTTAAGTTTTAAGTCACGTATTTTTATAAATTATTGTAGATTTTTTAAGATAGATTGTTTAATTTAAGAATTATAAAATAATAAACTATTATGTACATTTTGATTGTCACCATACATCTATATCATTTTGAATGAGAAATCACATGTATATCACATTAGTTGTCTATAATACAATAAATGAGAAATCATTTTGAATTGCATTCATGGATTGATAAAATTGAATTTGTGAATCATGGAAGAATTTACTCTCGGAGTGTCAATACACGGTCGGGAGCAAGAGCGATTCTTCTTTTGAAGGATAATGTGACTTGGCTCATAACCTTACATTGAGATGCAACCGAGACATAATTTTAATTACAATGAAATGCAAGATACACAATACCATTGTTTCGAGAACACAACACATGTGACACCATTACATTTTCAATAAGAAATGATATTTAATGGTGTTACGTCTTGATGTAAAAGTGTCGCGTGTTTATCAATGGTATTGTGTGTTGCATTTGCATAAAACAGTTAAATTGAGGATCAAATTTTTGTTGAAAAGTAATAAAAATTAGCAGTTCAAGTCAGTAGAGTATTCTAGGACATTAATAATCTATTTCAGACTTATATTGAATTCGCAAGTAATGTTTTCTTTTTATCATAAAGGACATTAATATATGGTTCAATTATTAATATTTTATGTTGTTCCATGGTGGGCGACGTGGTGATGATAATGTTGGATAGTGTGCCACTCAAGTCCAACTGGAACCGAGGCGCCTAACCAATTACCACTAAAATCTGTTACGCGACAGTGGTGGGAAACGTTTACACATCATCATATAAATCTATAGTATTATATATTTCATTTTTAAGGGTATTTTATGAAAAAATGTAAATTGTGTTATTTAAATTTGATAAGTGGACAAATATTCTGACACAATTAAAAAAGCAAAATAGACAATTATTAAGGGATGGATGGAGTATTTATCTTTTCATTATTGCTCCTAACTCTTAAGTTTTCAAAAATGGCAAAAAAATAAAATAAAATAAAAGGTAAAATTTTATCTTTCATCATGGCAAATATGGGAATATAATAATGTCATCATCAGTTAGACGTGTATGCAATTGCCAATCCTTCTTTTCACAAAAACAATACCTGTAATTACGAAAATGCCCCCTATTAGTTTAGGATGTCCATATATTTTTTAAGAAGATATGTAATTATTACATTGTCCCCATTTAAAATTACAAAATTACCCTTTCAAGTTTAAATATATATAATCAAGTTTGAATTTTTTTAAAATTTTAAGAGTATTTTATGGAAAAATATGAAATATGTTATTTAAATTTAATAAGTGGACAAGTATTTTGAGACAACTCAAAAACGAAAAATAGACAATTATTAAGGGAACGGAGGGAGTATTTATCTTTTCATTATTGCTCTTAACTCTTGAGTTTTCAAAAATGGCAAAAAAAGAAAGGGTAAATTTTATCTTTCATCAAGGCAAATATGGGAATATAATAATGTCTTCATCTCAATTGCCATCCTTCTTTTCACAAAAATAATACATATAATTACAAAAATGCCCCTTATTAGTTTAGGATGTTCACATTTTTTTTAAAGGGATATGTAATTATTGCATTGTCACTTTTAAAAATTACAAAGGTACCCTTTCAAGTTTAAATATATATATATATATATAAAATTAAGTTTGAATTTTTTTTAAATTTTAAAGATATTTTATGAAAAAATATGAAATATGTTGTTTAAATTTGGTAAGTGGACAAATATTTTAGGACAACTCAAAAAGAAAAAATAGACAACTATTAAGAGACGGAGGGATTATTTATCTTTTTATTATTGCTCTTAACTCCTAAGTTTTCAAAATGGCGAAAAAAAAAGGTAAATTTTATCTTTCATCATGGCAAATATGGGAATATAATAATGTCGTCATCAGTTAGACGTGTATGCAATTGCCATCATTCTTTTTCACATAAATAATACGTGTAATTATGAAAATGCCCCCTATATATATATTTATTGTAATAACGTTTATGATGTCCGAATTTGAGAGGAGTAGTACGAAATCGACAAAATTATGTCACAAATAATGGAAACAAGAATTCTTAGCATGCGCGGAGCGTTAGAGCAAAAACACAATTAAAGCGGAGAAATGACGCTCGTTGAAAAATATTGTATTATTTAACTTTTGATAACATAATTTTAATATCATTGAAAATAATAAATGTTACTTAAAATTTTAGATAACAAAGACATAATTTATCGCTAAAGGCTAAAAATTTAAAATAAAATATCAAAAAGTACCATTTTTTATTAATCGCATAAAATTCTCCTCTTAAATTTATAGTTTTATCAAACACCACATAATTGTTAGTAAACATTAGTTAAAAATACGTTTACTCATTGAGTGGGTGCGCGCGGATACGGACGGTTACAATGTGTCTGGTGCACAATGCACTGAGCACATCATTTTTATTCTTGTTGTGAGAGTATTTCTTGTTAAGTTAAGAAAAAAAAAAAAATTAAATAATTAAAATGTAAAATTATCTTATTTTTCACTGATGAGGAGGGCAATTCTGTAAATGAAAATCTGGTGCTTTCTTCGTTGTACTTGACGATTTTTTTCTTGGAAATCGGATGATATGGGTGTACTTTGGGAGATGTATCTGACATTTACCAATCATGGCATAAAAACAAAACGATCAAAGAAAAAGGTAGAGAGAGAATTGTATGGTATATCTGAGCAAAGAACACAAATTTCTACTTCAATTAATAAGGTTCTTAGTATTCTTCGAATCTGGGAGGAGAAAGTTGAGCAATTGAACCTACAAAAGTGGTAGAGTTTTTATCAATATATTCATCTCATCATCATCAATGGCTGCCAAGAGACCTCTGCAGTGTATATTCAACAGAATTCACAGGGGAAGCATTAGGAATTTTGGTGCTCTATCTGAAACTAGCATGCCTTCCTCTTCTCAACACCTCATCGACTTAGAATACGAACACAGTGCCCACAAGTAATCTCTCTCTCTCTATATATCATGTTTTGGTTTCTGGGTTTTGTTTATAATCGGATTATAACTATATATTTATAGAAGGGCGTGTCTCTGTGTTCTGTTTATTGAAGGGCATGTATATGTTTAGATACCCATATGCGCGAAGTCAAGATGTTCGTGAAAATGTAGGTTCGGATTATATCCATATATTTATAGAAGGGCGTGTCTCTGTGTTCTGTTTATTGAAGTGCATGTATATGTTTAGATACCCATATGCGCGAAGTCGAGATGTTCGTGAAAATTTAGGTGTTTGTAATGGATTTCTGGGTTTAATTTCTTTCTTCTATTTTATTTATATTTATTATTATTATTATTATTTTTGTGTGGATTTTGGTCTAGTATAATACTTATTGTCATACCTCTGTTTATTACTTCTGATTTTGAAATTATGCTTGGTATTCATTTTGTGAAATTTTCATTAAGATGATTATATGCAATTCTGGATTGTGGCATGCTCTTGTTAATAGATATCTTATATGTTTTTCCTCTTTTTCAGAAAAGTGCATAAATTGTATGTAAGTATGTTGGAGTGTGCTGGTAATATACCTTCCGAAAAAAAAAAAAAAGCGTATTATGTCAGCTAAAAATGGTAGATGAAATCCAATTGATCAAGCTCTATACTGTTGTTTTTCATCGCTTGACAGACCAAGTTGATGCGTCAAGATTTCAACATTTCTAATCTATTATCTGGGAGCCTAGAGTTCATTCTTGCTCTATTTGGTTGCCGAGAAACTGAATGTATTTGTGACTTTCTCTTTTTCTTGCATTCAGCTGCCAAGTGGGCAATTGTTGAATTTGTAATTCCCTAAACCCATTTCACCATCCTAGATCAAATATTACAAACCTGATTTCCTCTCTTTGTGGACTTAGCTTAATATGTACCTGGTATCAGATAGTATCTGATTGATAAATATAAAGGTGACTTCTAGCATTTGGATACCCTTTTAATTGAGACTCATGAGTGATCTTTGTGGTTTACATTTTTTGTTTGTTTTTGTTTTCCCATTTTAGAACTCTAAAGAGGCGTTCAAATTTCACACTAAAGACTCTCCATGGTTCTGTTGTCATGAAAGCCAGATTGGCCAAGTCAGAATTATTGTATAATAATTGTATTAGCTATCCATGTATTGGCTCATGGATTGCACAACTCCACCTGCTAGATGTCTATGGAATAAAGAGTATACGTCAACATGTAGGCATGCAATCAGTGGTCCATCATGGGACCATTGGTCAGTCATACACAACCATGACATTGATGTGTATGTGTGTTTTTTTTAGGTTGTTGAAGCCTTTGAATCAAGTCTTATGACCTGTAAAATATGCACTTGGGTTGTATTTAGGCCTCTCCTTACCTTAAGCCCACTCCAAATGTTACCTAAATGATGTGAAATCCTTTTACATCCCATTTCCTCTTTGAAATTCCAGTTTGTTTGGAGCTTTACTCGTGAAGAAACAGAAGGTACTATTATAACAGAGGGTTACTTGTTAAGCTGTGTTACCTGGACTCGTCGGTTCCGGCGAGGGTGTCCGTGTCGACACGACACGACACGACACGACACGACACGACACGACACGACACGGACACGGACACGGACACGGGATATGCGTCCGACCTTGTACGGTCAAGATCGGACACGGCCGTTGAAGAAAACCCTTATTTCAGTGGTCGGAAATTGTGGTCGGAAATTACTGGTTTCGCCGCGATTTTCAGGAAGGGGGTTTTGGAGAAGACGAGGGTTCTTCACGCGTTGGTTTTGCATAGAAACTTACCCTACTTGGAGCGTGTTGTTCACTTTCTGACGCGTAAATAAATTTCAGCAGACAGCTGCCTGTCATTGTCATTGAGAAACGTGTGTATATATATATGGTAGTAGTATATATATATATGGTATATATATAATAATAAATATGTGGTTAGTGGGTCACCAGCTGTAACCCACTCACCACAATTGACCGTTTGAAATAAGTGTAAATTTACATTTTTAACCTTATAATTAAAGCATTTGTTTACGATGAAAAAATTAGAAAATAATGTGTAGTACTCCGTATTAAGTTGCGTTTTTGCCGCCTCAAAAGATCTGAGACTTCTTTTCTTTCTTCTCTCTTGTGCGTATATGTGTGTGTGTGTGACTGTGTGTGTGTGGTGGGTTTTTGACAAGAATAACCCTATTTATTATTGATAAGGCAGAGACTATCATCTATGGTGGTTAAAGACTCTGATTGTTCTAGGAGAATGATACTCACGTGGGATCTGCTTGATTCCTTCATACGGCCGCCGGCAGAGCCTCCAGGCTGATGAGCACGGTGGTGCACGGTGCGACTAGTGCGTCACCTGCGTCGCCGCTTGGAACCGGATGATCTTTGGCTTAGACTTCTTTAGTTTAGGAAACCCTAGACTGAATACGTCTTTAATCCATCTGTAAGGCTTTATGGGCTATTTAACTTATGGGTTGGCCCATTGGTTGAGGGTTTGGCCTGTTGTAAATTCTTTCTTTCAACACAATATTTACCTTATGGGCTGTTTAACTTATGGGTTGGCCCATTGGTTGAGGCTTTGGACTGCTGTAAATTCTTTCTTTCAATACAATACATTTACCTTCCAAAAAAAAAAAACAGTACTCATGAAAAATCTTCTCCCCAATTTTATTATATTATATTATATTTTTTTTTTCCCTCTCTGTTTTCTTCATGTTATTTAACTTATTTAACAATTATGAATTAACATCATCTCTTACTTATCTAAGTTATCTTGTTAGTTGCTGCCTTATGCCATGCTTAGTTGCCTATCTGATTAAATTTATCAGACTATCACTAATATAATTTTTCATTTTTTAATATTTTGTATGCCGTGTCCAAGTACCCGTGTCCGAATTTTGGACACTTTTATTCCGTGTCCCCGTGTCCTATAATTGAATAGATTGGTGGATCCGACCTCTAGACACGTACCCGTGTCCGACACCCGTATCCGAGTCCAGGTAACATAACTGTTAAGTTCATGTTTGATTTGTTTAGAAAGGGAATGAGTTCCATAACATTCTATGTAACATGAGAACATAAATTTTTGAATTGTTGGACACAATACACAAAGGGCTTAGGTATCGAACGTGTGCGACACACATTGTAATGGGTGGCTCTTTTGAACTTGCAATTTCTGTAACAATGTTCATAACATCCTTGGCTCTTTTGAAACATCATTTGGTATTTTTGGACTTTTACCTTTCCCCTTCTCTAGAACCATGATCTTCTAGGCAAATGAAACTTTTTTCAACATTTTTGATTCGGTATAGGTGCAAAATCTCCCCTATATTAAATATATACCTCACTTTCCAAACATATCCCTAGTCATAGAAGTTTTGCTTTTTCTATAATTGGCTTTTAGTAATAATCAAAATAAAGTTATGGAAGAAATTAAAATTCACCATGCTAATATAAGCATTCATGTGATATAAGAATTACGAAATGTATTCATATAGTTAGGAAATGCTGATGGTGGCTTGCGTTCTACTACCATTTGATGTAATTTATCTACTGTGTTCCGGTGAAAATTCCTAAGTCATTTTTCTGGTTGAATTGTAGTTACCACCCGATTCCCATTGTGTTCTCTCAAGCAAAAGGATCATCCATATGGGATCCAGAAGGCAAAAAATATATTGACTTCCTCGCATCTTACTCTGCAGTTAATCAGGTGATAGTGAGGGGCTGTTTGTTTTATTCTATTATGGACTTGTTTAAACTTTTTAAAAAATGGGAAGTATTCTAAATATCCTAAATGTTGGGGGCTAAAGGTGTAGGTTTTGATCTTGACAAAATCCATATCATCCTCAGTTGAGGAGGTTCATGAGTAAGATTGTGATTCCTTTTTTAGAAAATCTTTACTCTTGTTAATGAACAATTAATGCAGCTCTTTTATTCACCGAAAAAAAGAGATGCAGCTTTTTATGGCTAGTTGCCTACACTTGGATTCATTGCCTACCCTAAAAAGTCATTTCGTATTACATTCTTACTTTTTTTGCATTACATTACAAATGGATTTTAGGCTTCAAATTCAGAGATTTTTGCTGCAGGGACATTGTCATCCACATATTATGAAAGCATTAGTGGAACAGGCAGAAAGGCTTACTCTCAGCTCTAGAGCCTTCTATAATGATAGATTTCCAATATTTGCAGAGCTTCTTACCAGCATGTTTGGATATGAAATGGTGCTACCAATGAATACTGGTGCTGAAGGTGTAGAAACAGCTCTTAAGTTGGCTAGAAAATGGGGTTATCAGAAGAAAAAAATCCCCAAAGATGAGGTATGAAATGCATGTTCATTCTGGTGTGCTATGCTAATATTAAATTAGAAATATTTGAATCTTTTGTTTTGTGCTGCTTCAAAAATTTCTATGCTGGGGAAAAACTCCATTACATTATTCGGGTGCACTAATCATGTTATGTTTATTTTGCTTGTAAATTCCTAATATAAAGCATGTCATCAACACAAGCACAGGTGTGTAGACTTAGCCATGCATAATTTCTGTTAGTAGAAAACTAGTTTGGTGTCTGTGGGTCCAAGTAATGTACTTGAAAATTTAAATAGAAGAAGCTCTTGTTTAGGACAATTTTGGGTGCATTATTTTCCCTGTGAAAAAGAATGTGGGGATTGTTGGACACGACCTAACCATATTTGCTAATTTCTCTTATCTTCCCCTCAATTGATACTTTGTCTAGACTGTTCTAGCCCCATACATTTTCCCTTAAATTTCAATATTTACAAGATGTAAAGCGAGTGAGGAAAATTGAAAGTTCCTTGATCAATGACCAGCAAGCCTCCTATTTTCTGGATTACTCATAACTAGATCAATTGAGTTACGCTGGTGGAGTGATATTGTTATTTGCCACTTCAATGCTTTTTCTCTTCATATTTCTTTTCATCTGTTTATACAAATTTACAGCATTCATCATGTGAGATAGCAGTCAACAGTTATTTATTACTTGGGTTGTGATGAAGTATTGCATTTCTGTCGTGCTTTCCCATTTATTATAACAATTGAGCTTCTGCAGGCTATCATTGTATCATGCTGTGGTTGCTTCCATGGTCGTACCTTGGCTGTCATTTCTATGAGCTGTGACAATGAGGCAACTTGTGGTTTTGGGCCCTTGTTGCCTGGACATCTTAAAGTTGATTTCGGTGATGAAGTTGCTCTTGAGAAGATATTTAAAGGTTTGTAAACATGGAAACTTCTTTAACCAAGACGGTGCTTGTTAAATTTATTCCATACGATTACTGGACTTGAGAAATTTCATTCTTAATTTTATGCATTAATCCATTGTATCTTACACTTTTATGATTCATTACTGTTTTAACCTTGGCAGATTGAAGAGTATATAATTCAAATTTGTTATTTCTCTTTTTATGGTGAACAGAAAATGGAGATCGTATAGCTGGATTTCTATTTGAACCCATCCAAGGAGAGGCTGGGGTATGTGTCTTTTGCAACCAAATTAACTACGATCAGTTGGATTTTTATTTTATGTTATTCTTTTGAGCGATGAGAAACTAACCAAATTTACTTACTAAAATCTTTTGGTCTCTAGACTCGATACTGAATTGGCTCAACTGGTTGTGGTAACAGTATAAAATCTTTTTAAGTAGGCTAGGTTTTGATTTTTTTCTTCTAGAAATGGTCATTTTGACATAAACTATCCATGACCTACATTATGATATTGAATGCCCCTCGATTTCAGTGGCACAGCTTAGAATCCCTTATTCATGGTCTTACATAAATTGTGTTTAGGCACCAACAGATAGAATTTTGTAGAAAATTGGGAGCTCTTTTTTTGGTTGGGGTTGGGAGGGGGAGATACTTTTTTTTGGGATTGGTTAGTGGGGATGAGGGGTGGAACAACCATTCATGCTCCTTGCACAAGGAGTGAGTTCCCTTTTTCTTTTTCTTTCTCCTTTTTTTATTATTTTATTTTATTGGAGAGAGGGGGATGTTGCTTTAACAAATTTCCTTAAATAGTCGTTCATTTACATTTTTCTTTTTTTCTTTATTTAATTTTTTCTTTATTATTTTAAGGTGATAATTCCTCCAGATGGTTATCTAAGAGCTGTCAGAGATCTTTGCTCAAAATATAATATCTTAATGATTGCTGATGAGATACAATCTGGCTTAGCACGGACAGGAAGGATGCTGGCTGTTGATTGGGAAGAAGTTCGGCCAGATGTTGTAGTAAGGCCTTTTATTTGTTTAGATTTGTACCCTGCTTTGGTATGAATGGGGCACACTTTTTAACTATTTCTCTATATATGAAACCATATGAACTGAATCTCTATGTTAAATTTATAAAGGGCAAAGTGCAATAAACCCCCCTTGACTATTCGAGTTTTAATTTAATATTAAGGAGCACCATTTTATTAAATTTATATTAAGGGTCATTTTAGTCATTATAACATCACTTTGCAACAAATTGGATAGTTAAGGGGGTTTTATGTGAACACTTTTTTTTTCAAGGAGGTTTCTTGCCAAAAATTCAAAGTACAGGGGGGTTATGTGCAATTTGTCCTATATAATAGGAATAGGGGCATTTTCGTCTCAAAAACATTTTCCATCCACTCCCATCTGCTATGTTACCCCCCTCGGATAGTTGGAGGGGTTTTTTTTGGCAAAAAATTACTCAAGGGGTTTATTGCAAAACTCATTTGGCATAGTGTTGTTATAAAAATTTTGATTTTTTTTTTTTTTTTTAAATGGCGAGTCTATAAGAAAATGAAGATACCTTAAATAATTTTCAAAATTTTCTTAAATTTTTATTTAAAAAAAATGAAAATACCTTTGAAACAAGTTTTAAAATTCTTAAATTTTTATGTTTAAAAATAAAAAAGAAAATATTTTTATTTAGCTTTTCTTTTCTTTTTATGATTTAAAATGAAAATACCTTGAAGCAATTTAAATTTTTTTTATTATTTAGCTTTCCTTTTTCTTTTTTATATTTAAAAATAAAAATTTAAGAAAATTTTTTCAAGGTATTTTCATTTTCTTATAGACCCACCATTTAAAAAAAAAAATTTAAATTTTTTATAACAACACTATGCCAAATGAGTTTTTATTAATTTTAATTTAATATTAAGTAACGCCATTTTATTAAATTTATATTAAGGGGCACTTTAGTCATTATAACATCACTTTGCAATAAATTGGATAGTTATGGGGGGTTTATGTGCACTTTTTTCTTCATGGAAGTTTTTTTTGCAAAAAATTCAAAGTAGAGGAGGATTTAACAATTTGTTCTAATAGAAATAAGGGTATTTTTGTCTCAAAAATATTTTTCATCCACTCCCATCCACTCTGTTACCCCCTTGAATAGTTGGAGGGGTTTTTTTGACAAAAAATTAGTTGGGGGTTTATTGCAAAACGCGAATAGTTGAGGGGGGTTTATTGCACTTTACCCATTTATAAATGCTATTTTGCTTTAGAAATTTTCTTACAATAAAATATTTCTTTAATGAAAATTGGTTCGCAAGTTGCGTTCTTCTATCTGTCCATATTTTATATTAAGGCCTTATTCATGAGTGCTTGACACTCTTTTCACCTCTTTTTTCACCAATTAGAAATATATATATATATATATATATATATTTTGATAAAACGAAATATTGGCGTTGTTAGTATTAAAATTCCGTAGGTTGTTAATTATAAACTGATTATGGACTTATTTGCCCACAGTTTGATTCAGACATCAAAGATATGCACACACATATGTGCCTTTGCATATTTTTCATGGATTATGCTGTACCATTTACAAGGCCTTGTATATGGAAGTCAACATTTTGATATGAAAATCTCTCTCTCTCTCTCTCTCTATATATATATATATATATATATATATATATATATCTATCTATCTCTCCCTCCCTCCCTCTCTCCCTCCCTCCCTCTCTCTCTGGTGCAGCCAAATTGGAATTAAAATGGTGTCATTTAGTGACTTTAGTCTATCAAGTATAATCTATTCCCACCCAATAGTCACAATGTCAAAATTAGACAGCTTATCTTTTGAGAGAGAATTGATTCGATTAAAAACCAATAGTTATTAGTTTAGAAGTTGATTTCCTTTGAATGCCACAATTACTGATGGCGAATGAAATGAGTGAAAAATGAATGGGTGAGGGTAACTTTGAAAGGATATTAAATACATTCTGTCTTTTTCGAACTTCATCCAATTTTTTATACCAGGGGACTTTAAATGTTTTATGTCTAAAATAATATTCACTGGGCTTAGTTGTCAGAGGAAAAAGGTAATATTTATGTCACGAAGTTCTTTGAATAATTCATTTATTCTTTCATTGCTTCATAAATGTCGTCTAAGTTGATAATTTCCTTGAGGTTGAAATAATCAGTCTGGCAATGATTCAACTTGATCTCAACTATTTTGGTGGTGAAAGTAAGGCATCTAGGAGATATTTATGGGAAAGTTGGGCCTGCTGATTACAGTAGTTGTTCACTTATTGGCATCATAAAAATAAAATTTTTTTTTGGTGGGGAGCAGTACAATTTCGAACTTGGGAGATGTTTAGATCATTTAGATTCTCAAAAGTAACTTAACTGTCTTAATAACAAATAACAGCTCAAATATGCTTCCTTTTATTAAATTAACTTCTTCTTTGGTTACCTGATTCAGATACTAGGCAAAGCATTGGGAGGTGGAGTGATGCCTGTAAGTGCAGTGCTTGCAGACAAGGATGTTATGCTTTGCATACAGCCAGGAGAGCATGGAAGGTTTGCAGTTGTAATTGCCTTATTTTTTTCCTAGTTGATACTCACACACCTCCCTCAAGGAATTGTTTGCGCCCAAGAGGATTTGAACCTTAGACCTGATGCTTCATGAGGCACCAGGGCCAAGTTCTTACCCACTTGAGCCAACCCCTTGGGGTTATTTTGCTTTATTTTGTTAATGATAAATTTTGTCATCAGTTTCCATTGCCCTAAGAGTCCGTTGCTTGGTGCTGTAGTAGAATTTCAACTGCCAAGAATGAGAATGCAAGTTTGAGTTTAAGAACAGCTACTTCGTACACAGAGTGTCAAATATTAGGCCTGTACTCTGTCCCTCTCTTCCAGAATCCTTGATTAATGGGGACCTCATTGTGTAATGGTCTTTTAGTTTTCTCTGACCTATTGTAAAATTTTGAAAATAGTGATTATTTTATAAAGTTAAAACATCAAGTTTTGAAGGGTCTCCGTCTTGATTTGGAAAAGTTGCCAAGTCATGCAATTTCAACTGTACACAAACATAATTCAATTGTAGACTGCGTACTAGTTGGAAGGTGACGGGTGAGTTAGGCTTAGCTATTTAATTTAGTTTATGCTAATATGGTGCCTTGATCAAAGCTGTGTGGAACACAAACTCAGTAACGGCCACAGGATTGCTGTGGGTTTTGGTCCTTTGCGGGATTTTGTTTGGTTGGTTCAATAATGATGAGTTCTTACATAATACCAAAATGATGTCAGATGCAACCTGGCGGATTGGTGGGTGAGGTCTAGTTTTACTGTTCCACAAACAAACCTGCAGGAAATCGTATGAAGAAAACAGGACAAGTGAAAAAATAAGTCTTTGGATGCGAAGTATCTGTCATTTTTTTATAGAAATTTTTTCCGCTTTTACTGAGGGGAAGGATGGATGTGATTTGGGTAAAGAAAGATATTACATTGCCTTCTGAGTCTTAACAAAAAACATTACCTTTTCTGTTCCAGTGTTCCTGTTCTTGTTCCAAATCAATTTTGGGGCACGTATGATTCTGTATTGAATTGTGCTTCATCCAAACAACATGAAGGGGACTCCTCTCAGTTTCTAATGTAGCTTTCACTTGATTCAAAATATTAGACTTACAGCTGTTTCTGACAGATGCAAACCATTTAAAAATCATTGTTTAGGAAATTATGACATTCCATTTTCAATTCTTATTCCTTTATGCACTATTGTATGCTCTTCACTTTTTGTTGTTCCTAGTACTTTAATTCCACAGGAGCTAACATGCTTTTGATTCGATATCATTCTCAGTACCTTTGGGGGAAATCCTTTGGCCAGTGCAGTCGCTGTTGCCTCATTAGAGGTGATCAGAGATGAGGGACTTGCTAAGAGGTATTAAACCTTCCTGTTGCTATATTAACCAGATTATATACCACTCTAGATTTTTTTTTTTTTTTTTTTTTTGTGTGTGTAAAAACTGAAATCCAAAGAAAATGTTTTCCCCCTTAAAATTTGATAGAGAAACTGTCTTATTTGTTAATGTTTAGAACTTCTAGCGGTTTTAGAATTTCCCTGATGCTAATAATTTTTCGTAATCAACATTGTCAATCTGCACCATTAAACAATGAATCGTTCCACATTCTTGGATCTGTGGTAAGCACATGTTAATTACTGAGATACTTGAAAACCATTGATCAGAAGATCAGTATTGTGTGCCACTTTCTTCTGCTTCATTCTTTTTGTGGGTCCATGGTCCCCTGGACGTGAATCCTTGAGGTCATCACTAATAAGCCATCAATATAGAGGTTGAGAACCATGACTTGCTGTTCCCTTTGTGCAATAATCTCTTATAAACTTCCTTTTGTTAAACCTTATAAGCTAAGCAGAGTCATTCATTAGTTGAATTTGCAGAATTTAGTTGCAATGTTATTTCTGTGATCGGAGTTCCTAAACTTTAGGTTTCATACGGCAGCTTTATTTTTCCCTATTTCTGACTAAGTTTATGACTTCTTTTATTTATTTGACTTTTTGATTCAATGTGGCTATATAAATTATCTTTTCATATTCCTCTGTTCTGCAGATCTGCTGAAATGGGACTGGAGCTCAGGCATCAGCTGAATAAGGTCCAGCAGCAATTCCCTAATTACATTAAAGAAGTACGAGGAAAAGGTTTGTTCAATGCCGTGGAGTTTAACAGCCATACATTGTCCCCCATATCTGCTTATGATATTTGTATAAAGTTGAAGGAGAGAGGAATTCTTGCAAAGCCGACTCACGATACTATTATCCGATTTACTCCTCCACTATCTATGAGGTGAGAAGCATACTTATTGAATATTGTATAGTTTTGACTTGTTACAATGCTTTTTTTCCCATTATATGGGAGTGTCATTGTGGTTTTGTTATGCCTATATAGCAAAGTCTGTCTACCTATGTGTAATCCTGAGTTTTCAATCATTTATGGAACTTTCAAAGAGTTGTACTGAACTCAACCGAATAGAAACCCTATCCTACATTTTTTTCATTTGGCTATGATAAACCCTTTCAGCCATTTCTCTGGATGCTATCATACCGTTGCTAATCCATAGGCCATTATTTTCTTTTCGTAGTATAAACCTATTGTTCTCTCTGCCTTCCTTTTACTGGTGTGGTGTCTTTAATTGATGGCTTTTCTTGTACATTATCATACTTTCTTAGCCGACTCTTTTATTCTCTTTACTTGGCTCCATCTCTAGCCACTTGTACATCTCAACATCCACATCTAAAATTTGCTCATTTTATCTACACAATTTTGATACCCACTGTTTAATTCCATAAAACATGGTTGGCCTTATTGCAAGCTTATAGAAGTTTCCCTTTTGTTAGTGGCATTTGTCAATTATCACATTTAACTCCCTGTTTGTGTCACTAAGCATATTCGGTATTTCGTTTATTGAATGTTGTGTATCTTTGCAGGTATATCAGATAATACTTTAATTAGTTGTCAAATTTGGAATAAGTTAAAATGCCACTAATCTTAACATGTTTTGTCTTCTTTACTAAACATGCCCCTCTTCATTGATTTTTTGATTTTTGCATTCTAAATTATCTTCCAAGATCTTGCCACATATTGCTTTTACTACTGCACAATTGCTTTCTTTCAAGGATATTCTTCTATGGTTGCTGGTATATTTCCCATTACCGATGCTTCCAAATTCCCATATCTAAATACATGGTCACAGTAGATTTTCTCTTTCTTTACGTAAACATGGACTTGTAACCTATTCTGATTTGGATACTATTAAGTTGCACTAGAAATGAGAATTGGATGACCATTCCTGGTTGAATTTATTTTACAGATTTATTATAGCATTGTAATTTTATGACCTAATGAATGTGGTACATACAGTCTGAATGAGATTCAGGAAGGCTCAAAGGCATTGCGTGATGTTTTGGAACTTGATCTGCCAAAGATGCACAAGGCAAAGCCAAAGACTGTCTCTCCTACAGCCTCTAATGTATGTGACCGTTGTGGGCGCAACTTGTATGCTTCTTCATAAGATATTTGAATTGCAGCCATATCTCCACCTCTTATATGCTTATAAAATTATCCTTTATGTATTGTTCTCAAGAACTACATTTCTCTAGTATTTATTTTTATATTTATTTTTATTTAAAATAACAAACATATGCTATTTTCCTTAATTATTGCTTCTTTGTCAAATCAGTCTTCTCATCAATTTTTCGAATCACTAGCAAAATACAAGAAAAGAATCGTCTCTGTGCATGCGCTATATTACTGTTTGTTTTGCTGCATTAAGAACTGTTGAAAGCTCAGAACCTTCCTTGTTTTTGGGTAAGGGACTCACTAATCATACTTGAAGGCTCATGGCAAGCATTTTCAGCTCAAGACAACACTAGGATATGTTCACCTGAATGTAGAATGAATGCGAACCTGTTGATATAGTATCACACATACGAAGAGGTCTAACCTCCAATTTAGGACCTGTTTAGATATTGTCCGCTTTGCATACTCTCCTTTCACTGTTGTGTTCACAAATTTTTCAAAACGCCTCTGCATTGTTAAGAGATGTTCACACGTACAGATTTGACTTTTAACATTGTTCCACTGTTATTCCTTAGAATCAAACTTGTTTTCTGTGTGTCACAGACAATGCCCCTTTACTTTTCAAAGGATAGGAATAGTTATAATAAATATATATTGATTGGCACATGAATCTAGAGTTTTGGAGCCTTCAATTTTCCCAGATTGTACTTCTTTTGCCAGCTGCACGTGTTTATAACCTTGGTGTTTGGGAACAACACTGGCATGAATGTGTGTGTGTGTGTGTGTGTGTGTGTGTGTGAAAACTGAAAACTGAGGCATGTGAGCTGCATCTTTACTGTGGATTTGTCTGATTAGGAGGAACAAGGGCCGGAGAATTTGTTATAGGAAAATGCTTCTCAAAACAATAGAGCAATAGACATTGATGAGATTACATCTTGTGTTCAGTATCTATAATTCATTTTAAATTTGGTATTTTGTTTTTATTTTATTTTATTTTAGTAGAATCACCGTGTGTTATTTTTGTGCCTGTAGTAGGAGTACCTCTTTGATTTGAATATGGGTACAGTTCAGTCGCAACCTAATTGAAGTTATTTGGTATGGTATGCACGAGTGGCATCACTCATTTAATGACTAGTCCACCAGAGGTCCCACTGGAAACTGGAGCCAGTAGAATATTGTTTTCTTTTTTGGTGTTCCTATAATTTCTTTAGTATGTATATATAATATATACGCACACTCGGTTTTGTGCATGGGTATATGAGAATCTGAAGAAACTCATATCATACTTCTAGAGATGCTTAATTGGTGTGCTTCTTATTCCACCATGTTCAAGGGTAAGGTAGGGTTAAGTTTTGGATAATTAGATATTCGTCTTTAGTGGTAGACTATGGCTGGTTCAATCTGTGCTTTGCAGCATCAAAAAAACTAGTGTTAGAGGGTCTCGTCCCATATTGGATTTACATGGAAAAGAAATTAAGTATATATGAATAGGTATACAACACTATCTAATAATTTAAAATTTTGAATCGAAAGATAAGCGTTCAACTTGTTATAATCGATGTGACATCAACCCAGTCCCACCCTCGAGGTCCAGAGTGGGGGAGAATTTTTTTTTTATTGTAGTCCATCTTTTTTTTTTTTTTTTTTTTTAATAAAACAAATATGTGAGCCGTGGTTTCTAGATTTTATTGGCCTCCTTTAACAGTGGGTTGATTTTGCTTCTGTTGCATTCTCATATTGCCAGAGATAACCCCCTGCATATATTGTTTTTTTCTTTTATGTACTACTAATTGTATATTTCTAATCTCCTAAATTCTAATATATATAATTTCTATTCAATTCTAAGGAGATAGTCTGATGATAAGGTTCTAATGTCACCACTCGAGTGTTCAAAGTCTCCTTGGAGGCTCACTCTTAAAAATATTTCTCTTGAAACGGAGATACTGCACGTGTCCGGTAATAAATTATAGAGTGCTTTGTAAGACAAAGACCACCATAGTAATCCTACTCGATAATGCCGGAAGGGATGGAGTGGTACACAGTTAACCTCGACACTTTGAGGCTCTCAGCTTAAACCATTGCACCCAATAATAGCTCATATATATTATATACACACACTCACACACCAAATTTGACACATAACATTGGTGAGGGAGACACGGTGGAGACACAATAATGTTAAAAACTTTTGGTTGAGATATAATTAAATAGTAAGAGACAGCTTATACTCTATTTTAATATTAACAATAGATATAGATAGATCATGTTACCCCTTGAAAACTCCAGAAACTTAGTTTAACAAAATGGGTGGGACAATGTCTATGCCATTATTTATGTACCTTAGCTGGATTTCATGATTGTATTTTCACCTTACCTGTTTTTTTTTATTAGCATATACTCCTATTATAATTTTATCACACACTCTATCTTGTACACACACATGATTTATACTAAAATATAGTTTCTCTCCTTTGTTTCCATTAAATTGTATTGGCATTAAACTCTTCCATAGTGTGTTAAATTATTCTAATATAATTAATTATAGTCTACGTATGATATATTAATATATAAAATAATGTGCAAGTTCCAAAATTTCACAAAATGACAAAGGATTGGTAATCTTTCTAATAAAATTTTAAGAGAGCATTAAAAAGTATAGCAAAGAGGATTGAAACTTCATAAACAAAAAAAAAAGGAATCAATCATCAAAATACAATAGTTGGAAACTAGATTACATTAATGTTTCTTGTACTCAGAATTATCAGATGTATGAGTTATCATGTGAATTCTTAAAAGAAGAGTGTTAGTCACAGTCGCTCTAGTGACTGTAATTTGACACTCGTCTTCTTTGATTGTTTGAAAACTAATCACACTGATATTGTTGTGATTGGTTCAACCAAGCACCAAAAGCGAGGGCGGAGCGACGCTAGCCCTACGACTAATGCTAGTACTACTCTTTTATTGCAATTAATTTAACCCAAATGTTTAATGTCAACAAGCTTACAACTCTGTAAAAGGCTTTTGAGAATTTACACACAGAAAATCTCCCTCTCTTGTGAGAAAAAAATAAATAAAATCTCCCTCTCTTTCTCATGTTTTTCTGTCCTTCTACATATATTTTTGGAGTTTTTTCCGGGCATCTTCAACACCTCTTAGACTTTATTTCTCTTTCTTTTTACGGACGTGCCCTAGAGAAGACCTGCTGCCATCTTATTGGGTGTTGTATCTTGGAGGATTAGTGATTCGGTTTAACTTGTGCGATAAGAAAGACATTCTTCCTTTCCTTTAAAACAACGCAATTTACATGTCCCACCTCTTTGCCAGGCCACTGCTTTCCATTGCTTTCAATTTTATGTTTCATTTTTCCTTGAATATTTTAATTTTTTATTAATTGTATTCAAGAGAGTAGTTTTGTGATTTATTCTTGAAAAGTTTTATCGATTCTTATTTAAAACACCTATAATTATTTGTGCAACTCGACATATAAATTTAATTAAAAAAATCCCTAACACATTTACTCTGATAAACTTAGATGTTACATTTTACTAAATTGATCCAAACATGTGAAGGCACTTTTCAACCTGTGTGTACAATTAAAGGTAGTTGTGATGCAAAAAGCAAATGTGACCAACTTAAATTCACACTAAAGAAAAAGTGGAATGTTTGGTAGATGAAAGGTGACTAATCACAAGCAATTCATTGTGGGGGGTGTGGAAGCAATTCATCAATGCTACTTGTAATAAAATCCAAGTAGTATTTATTATTATTATTATTATTATGATTTATTTTTTATTATTTTGTGCCAGAGTTCAAGCATGTCAAACATCTAGTTTCTTGATTTGAGTAACTTGTGGAAAATCCAGTGATTTTGTGTAGCCCTAAATTAGGGAAACACAAATTATGAAGAAAATTTACCCCCACAATCCTGAGACAGATACATATACCACAATGAAAATACGTACTCTCGTATGTGGATAATTTGGCAAAAGTTCTTTACTCACTTATAGATCTCAATATAATTCGGTTGGATTTCAGTTTTGGGAAATTGTTAGGATCAATTTGGTTTCAAAGTACTCCAAATTGACCCGAACTTCAAGGGTTATGGGTTGTTTTCTATCTAACTGTGCAGTATCTTATATAAGCCAATAAATTATGAAATTTCAACATCATGATGTAATTATCAGCACCTTATGTGCAAACAATTTTTTCAAGTCATGATCAATTGATTTTAACAAGGAATGATTGTCATTCAAGGCTATAATTGGTGGGCAAGGTAAATAGATAGGGGGGACCATGACCAAGGGTGGTTATGGGTCAATTTAGATGGCAAAACTATGGACCTATTGTCAATTCTAAGGCACCTATTTAGGTGTATTTACACACACATGCATCTTTGATTGTTTTGTTGCTTCCCATGCCGTGATATTGCAATTGGCCAAAGTAGCTTTCTTTTACCTTGCCCTTGATAATGACTCTGTTTTTGGCCATAATTAGGTGGTTTGTATCATGTATTGAATTCCATCCTCCACTAGCCAACTTTGTGCAATGTACTAACACCACTACCTTGTGTCATGCATTTCATGATGGTTTTCATCAACTCGTTGTAATGAGTTATGGCTGGCGCATGGACTGGTGACTGAGGCCTCAAAGGAGGAGGATATGTGGGGGTCTGAAAGGGCCATTTGTCCCTCTTTAAGTTGGATATGAAAGGCTATGGGTGTACAACATCTCTCTTTGTATTGAATTTCAAGAGTCTCCTTCTAGTTTCATCTGTCACGACCTGCCCCAATTCGTATAAACTTGTACACGTCCATCCAGTTTTAGTTGGAATTGATTCTGATACTATTTGTCATGTGTTATGACTCGCCCCAATCGGTGTAGATATGTCAATTTCGTACCTTCTTGTTTCAGTACTCACGATTTTTTTTCATACTCGTTTACATGATTAGAGGGCGTTCACACATGTAAGTCTTAATAATTCTTTCCTCCACGCCATGTGGGGTGACAACATGACACATCATCAATAGCCTTTTTTAGTGTATATATATTTATTTAAGTTAGTAAATAAGTTAAATAATAATAATAATAATATCCAATACACTCACTTTGTTTTTGTAAAGATTAATCCTTAATCCTCAACTATATACTTGAAAGATAAATACGGTACCACTAGGTTAAATAGTAACTTTTAGGATAAATTATTGATTACCTGAAGGGTAATTATTTTCTATTATCAAGAAAATGATGAGTGGCGGAGTACTAAATTGTGGATATTTTCGGAGTTTTCAATGAACCTGGATCAGCTCCTGTGTCATTATATCATGTGCTACGTCACGTGCTTTCACATAACTTACGCAATAATTTTATACCCCTTATACAACAATTATATTAAATCGTTGTTTCATGATATTTCAATTCGTCTCGAGACTATTGTATTACAACAATACAAGACCAAGATATAAGATCTGCTATTCGTAGGTAATATTTCTTTTTTATTAAAATACAGAATAATATATTTTTATTATTAAATTACAGAATAATACAAAAATATTTATCCCTTGCCATGTTTATAATTTACTGTGTAGTGTGGACCATGTCAATGAAAGAAACTCAGTTTGCTTTTTGATATTATTGGTATAAATTAGGTTGCCATACATGACCGAATTACAAAAATAATACAAATATATTTATCCTCTACCATGTTTGTAATTTAATATTTAGTGTGGACCATGTCGATGAAGAAAACTTAGTATAATTTTTTATATTATTTGCATAAATTATCGTCCTCCAATTTAGACCCTTTCTCACATTTGACAACCCCCCCCCCCCCCCCCTTTTTTTTTCCCATGGATTAAACAAATGACTCATATACTTATACGTAATAACTTGATATATATCACACTTCATTATTCCACCACACATTTGGCCAAATTTATAAGTATCAAATATAGGGTTGGAATTTATGATATAACAATTTTTTGAAGAGTAATGATAAGGGAATAAAAAAAGAATCACCGAATTAGTATCCAATTTGATGTGATTAGTTATTCGTGTTAAATAATTATTTTTGAAAATTATTTAAGTAGATGAGGGGACAAAAACACGTCAAATTCAATACTTATTCGGACTTAATTTATCGGCCTCCCTATTATTATTCTTTCTTGAAACATTTATTTATAGTTTTATATATATATATATATATATATATATATATATATATTTGGCTGGAAACCAATCTATTGGTAGACAATCCGCATCCAGCAAGGCCCCACCCATAAACTATATATATAATGATACACACATGATACTTATCTCCATAAGTATTTATTATATACACGGTACTAATAGCTTTAAATTTGTTTTTAAAGTCATTTATGTTTACTTTATGCAACATTTTTCATGAATTTTGGACCAGAGTGGACATAATTAGCAGAGAAGTTCTGGAATTTTTTTTCCCAAATAAATAAACAGGTTGTAATAAAATTAACTTTTATGCCAACCCAAGACCTAGTTTCACTTTAAGTATTTGCTATTGCTATTTTTTTTTCTTCTCCAAATTCATGTTTCATTTTACCCAATGATAAAGTTTATGAAAATTCACATGTAAATACAGGAACGATAATTTCTATGAAATAAGACAAAATATCAAAATTTGGCCTTTTTTATTTTGGTTTATTATTATTATTATTTTTTCGTTTGTGTTTTAGGTTTTTGCAGGTCAGGGTTTGAAATGGAACGATTTTTACTTTATGTTCGATAAGATATAAACTCCATTTTAATAGATTGCAGACTTAGATTTTAAATCCGAATTAAAAAAAAGATCGGATAATATCTCTTTTTTTATTTTTTATTTTAAGATCTGTTTGAGTTTTGCTTGAAATTCAATGTGAAAGAAGTATAACATGAATTTTATTTAAGTTTTATGAGTCGGATATAATATAGTTTATATAATCCTACTTAAATTCAAATCTGAATATGAAACTTGATTTTAAAATAAGGGTGTAAATCTAGACGTCAGTTTGACAATTTTTTATGTTTTTTATTTTCTATTTTTCATTCAAAATATACACAACGTGTGTTCAATAGTGATTGAAAACATGTTTATTAACTTAAAATTTATTACAATATTTTTGAAAACTTAAAATTTATTACAATATTTTTGAAATCAAAAACAAAAAACACATTTGATAAAAAAGTGTTGCAGGATTAAAAACAAAATCAACTAGTAAAAAAAAAGTAATTTGGAGTGTTTTCATAGTGTTTTGTTACAATACAAAAACATTAGAAAAGTGTTTTTGGTTTGGGTCTTTTTGACAATAAACGCAGTATTATTTAATTCTACACAAAAGTTATTTGGATGTTTACCACAGGCAATAAAAAATAATAATAATAAAATAAAATAAAAAAAACTCACACACACACACACACAAAAAAAAACAAAAAAACAAAAAAATCAGATATGCATAGCTTTCATGTTGTACTTCAAGTAAACAAGATGAAGTAAAGAAGACTAGTGATGAATAATGACAATTTTATCCATTTTATGTTTTCTTTTCTTTTTTTTTGGTGCTTAGCTTTTGGTGGGCATCACAGTGCTTAAAATCTTCAATACCGCCCATATTGTGAAGTAAAAATCAAAACAAGTCGCAATCTCATCTCCACAAAATTTTTGGATTTTTTTTTCTTTCATAAATGTCCAAAAACAATTTTGAAATTATGATTTTTCAAATAAACCGCTCATACACCCAATCAATTTTGTCCTTCAAACTTGAATCCTTCACTTGTCCAATTGCAATGTGTGATTATTGAAGTTCCTTTTTAGTAACAATACAAAATCGATGATATTTTCTATAAAAAAACAAAAACAAGTGTATATTTATATTTACCAAAAGATTAAAAAAATTATCATTTTTCTAGAGTTATTTTTTAGAAGGCCCTAGTCAAAACTAGAACTGTATAATGAAATAGTAATTCCAACTTTCACAGTTTCACATTGCTTTAAACAGTTGGATATAAAAAGAGAATAACATAATAAGATTTATAAAATAAAAATAAAAAAATCAACTCTCACAGTTTTGTTTTTTCTCCAAACAATATCGAAATCTTGTTTTATTATTTATTTATATCAATGACACAATGCTCTATGATAAATTATTTGTGATATGAGAGTTACCGACTTCGCAGTAATTTAGTTAATAATTTTTTTAATAGTAAAATATATTAATTCGTACTTAAATTAGGTACTACAATACTCTTTCGATACACAATAATTTCTCAAAAAAAAAAGAAAAAAAACAAGAATTTTTATTTTATTTACCCAATTAGGATGTCTTTTTTATAAACAAATGACCCTGTTTAGTAATTGTTTTTATTTATTGTTTATCATTTAAATTTAAATATAATAAGTATTTATGTGTAATTTTTGTTTATTGATTAATAGATACATTGCTTGATGACGTAAAAATATTTGTTTTATTTTAAAACAATAAATAGAAAAACATATTTGTTAATCTTAAACTGTTTAAAAAAAAAAAATTCAAACACCAATTTTAAACAAATAATAAAAGCATCTATTAAGTGTCAAATTATTTTTTACTTATAATGATTTTCAGGTAACAAATTGATACTCTAACCAACTTTTCTTTCTTTTCTTTTCTTTTCTTTTTTTTTTTTTTTTTTCCCAAAAGGTTAACTTTTTTTTGGTTAAAACGAAAGGTACTCTTTGCTTAAGTAATATTTTTAAAAAACCCATTATGAAAACCTACCAAAGAATATAAGAATGAAACTTTGGATTTCTTCCTATTGTTTGGCTTGACATTTATAAAATTGGCTAATATATAAGTGAATTTATATAATCCATAAATATAAACAATATTAACACATGTTTTTCTTTAAAATTTGTTTATATAAACAATAAATTGTAAACATAAATAATTATCAAAAGGGGCCTAAGTTACTACATTATTTCTCAAAATACATCTACTGTATGGGGAATTAATTTTTTTTTATGATAATAAAGTTTTAATAGTTTTTTTATTGTATTGATAACAGTAAAATTTTAAATATGTTTTGCTTAAAAGATAAAATAGTGTTCGATAATGATTGTACTTGTTTGATTAAATGAATAGTTGGAAAAAATTAAAAAAACTATTACATCCAATTTTAGACTGAGATATATTTTTTTTGAGATATTTCAAAATAAAAAGATGAGACAGATTAAATATCACATTTTGATATGTTTTCTTACACGATTAATGCATTCTTAAATTAAGTAGGTTAATGTAATAGCCAAAAAAACATCTTATCCCCTCCAAAGTAATCTTCTTTCACTCTATACGCGCATAATATCCTCGCTCCCTCTTTATGTCTCATCGCTACTCTGTAAAGACAGAATCGTGGATCCATTTCGTCCCACCATTTCTCTCTCTCTCTCTCTCTCTCTCTAAACTCCCTTAGGCCTTAACTCTGCAGAACCGGAACAGGCCTCTCTCTCTCTCTCATCCCTTTTCTGCATCAACTCTTTCCTTTCATACCCTTATGTCAGCTTTAGATATTCTCCTCTTTCTCTCTCTCTAAAACGATGCACCATCTCTCTCTCATCAGATCTAACCCCAACCCACTGTCCCAACCCAACCAATCGTTCCATCCTCATGTTCTCCTTCACTAGGGTTTCTCTCTCTCTCTCTCTCTCTCTCTCTCTCTCTCTCTCAATCCCATTTTAGGGTTTCCTCACTTCCTCATCCCCAACTTGATCTGAAAATTTCATAACTAAATCCAGATCTCCTCCTCTCTATCTAAACTCTCTCTTTATATATATACATATATAGATTCGCATTCTATATCTATATATATATTTGTTTTCTTCCGATGTCTTCTCTTCGCCAAGATCTAACCTCCAAAATCTACCCAGAACCCTACGCTTCCGTCTCCGGCATAGACCATTTCGATCGACTGCCAGATTCTCTGCTCCTTTTGGTGTTCAACAAGATCGGCGACGTCAAAGCCCTCGGCAGATGTTGTGTCGTTTCGCGGCGATTTCACAGCTTGGTCCCTCAGGTGGAGAACGTTGTAGTTCGTGTTGATTGCGTCATCTCCGACGACGATGCTTCGTCGGCGTCTGGATCATCCGATAAATCGCGCGGTCCGTTTTCGAACCTTTTTCGGCTTGTGTTTGGTGGAATTGTGAAACCCCTTCAAGCGCTAGGTCAATTCTTGGGCCCCAAAAGGTTGAACTTGCCGTCGTCCTCACTCTCTGTTGGTACTGGGGCTTCCGGTGGCGATGACGACGATCTTGACCAAGGTGGGGTGACCCACCATTCGCCTACCCAGGTTTTGAAAAATTTCAATGAGATTCGATTTCTCCGGATCGAACTTCCAAGTGGCGAATTGGGTATTGATGATGGTGTTTTGTTGAAATGGAGAGCAGATTTTGGATCGACGCTCGATGATTGTGTGATCCTCGGTGCTTCATCGGTGATATACCCCGGACCCACGAAGTATTCGATCTCACAAGACAACAATGGTGATGGTTTTTGCGGTAACGGTTACGGTAATGGTGGTGGCAGTGGAGACGATAATGGGAGTATACCCGAGTCTTTTTACACGAATGGGGGTCTGAAATTAAGAGTGGTTTGGACGATCAGTTCGTTGATTGCTGCATCAGCGAGGCATTACCTGCTTCAGCAGATAATTGCAGAGCACAAGACTTTGGAAAGCTTGGTTTTGGCGGATGCTGATGGACAGGGGGTGCTGTGTATGAATAGAGATCAGCTGGAGGAGTTGAGGGTGAAGCCCTTATCTGCTTCATCGGCATCGAAACGAACCCTTGTGCCGGCTCTGAACATGAGATTGTGGTATGCCCCTCACTTGGAATTGCCGGATGGGACTGTGCTGAAAGGGGCGACATTGGTTGCAATTAGGCCCAGTGAGCAGTCGGCCCCGAAGAAGGAGGTGGCAGACGGGTCTTGGGTTTCGGCCGCTTTTGAGGAGCCATATGGGACAGCAGCAAAGATGCTGGTGAAAAGGAGAACATATTGTCTTGAGATGAACTCATTCTGATGAGACACAATGCTGGATGAGGTAATTTTCCTTTTGATTGTCTGATATCTATTTGGTGTGATATCAAGAAATTTGCTAATTGGAAATTTGCTAATTGTTCGCTACCATAGATGCATCTCAGTGTACGCAAACATTTATCATGGATTAATTTACCTGCTGCAATCTAGTATTGCTAGAAGCCACTCATTAAATAATAATTCAGCTCATATTGTAGTTGGGTGGCATGTCTCTTGCCTTCATCTTAATTTAAGCTTTGGATATACTCCGATGACACTGTAATTGCAAGTTTATTTGTTTAGGACATCCTTGTTTTGATCATTACTTTACAATGGGGCTTGCAGTACAAAGTTGAAGTGTCAAGTGAATGATAGTTTGTGGAATTTCATGTGCTTTGGTAGAACTCCCTGAACAATGCTGAGAGTGGATTTATTGAAGTAATTAATCTGTTTTTTTTTTTTTAATTCATTTTCTTTGATCAGATTTACCATTTTTGTAAAGTGGTAGGCAATTTTGGTCCCATGGAAGCAATAGACCACAGTGGAGGCTAAAAGACCTCCTAGATTGAAAGATTCTGTAGATAGATGCATTTTTATGCTATGTTGCTTACCTTATTTGACCTGAGCTTATAATGTGGCTTTTAGCAATTTCTGTTGTATTTCCTGCACCAATTCTAGCATTGAATCTGTTTTGTTCTTTTTGATTTATGCATTTCTGTGATTCATGCAATTGTTCATTAATAATTCTCGCTTGATTTGATCACGCTCAATTTATTGAATTTGTTGTACGATTTTCAGGAAAATCACAGTTCTTTACTGAAAAGGGGATTTGTATATTTCGGAACATCAAGGAAACACAATTTTGTCTGCATGCAGCTTAATGTGAAGCTTAATGTGAGTGCGGTGTTCCATCATACCAAATATTGCTTCCTACCTGCGACTGAAACTCCAGTTATAGATTGATTATGTGCTGTAAATGTGTCATCATCTGTGCTTGACTGGTGTATGAAATGCATCTGCTTTTTTGTTTTCATTACGGGGATATGCTTGTAAGAGTGAATGCATGCAAACTAGATTGATGCTGTAAGAGCTTTGAGCCTTCGAGTTTGTACTCATTTACATTTCTCAATTAATATCTATATAAATGTGAATATTGTAGGTATATGTGGTGCTTATATGATGTATCTTTTAAATGCATTGAGCATTGTTCTATGTGTAGCTGTGCGTCTCAATTGGCTGATTCACTCACTTGTTCCTATCATTCTGTTATATCTGTGTCATGTGGTCTGAAAGAACTTAGTTTGTCTTATTGGTTTGTTCCGGGTCTGAGGAGGGATGGAACAAGGATTAGGAAGAGTGTGATAGTGATGCATGATTTCTTGTTTTATGGATTCATTAACATCCCACTGCTCACACCCCGAACAAACCAATAAGACGAAGCTGTAAATGATCTGTTATATCTGTCATGTGGTTTGAAAGAACTTAGTTCGTCTTATTGGTTTGTTCCGGGGGTGAGGAGGGATGGAACCAGGATGAGGAAGAGGGTGATGGTGATGCATGATTTCGTGTTTTATGGATTCATTAAACATCCCACTACTCACACCCCGAACAAACCAATAAGACGAATTAAGTCAGTGATGCATGATTTCGTGTTTTATGGATTCGTTAACATCCCACTGCTCTACTGTACTTGCCTTGAAAATTCAACTATTTGTTCGGCTTCCCCAATTTGCATATCATTATATCCTTCATTGCCACCCCCATGTATTCTGTGAGATCAGGAGAGGTTCCTATTGGGAAATAGTTGTTATGTTGGTGGAATTAGTTATGAAATTTTGTTGTTTGCAGTTATTTCATGGTTTCTGGACTTGAGATATAACATCTGAGAAGCTGACTTGTGCTATGTTGTCTGGCTGGACTCTGTTTTATCAAGAAAGCTTTGTTTCTTACAAAGGTTATGCAGTTGCAAATGTCCTCAACTGCACTAGGCTTATTATATATCTTGCAATCTTATGTTATTGAATGTTTGGAGTTAGTGATGATGTTTTAAAAATTTTGAGCGTACTTTTTTGTTCTTCAGAAGCTTTGGATTGTCCTACTTATATTGTGCGCTTTAAATGTTGGTTCATTATCTAACCAACATTTGTTATTGAGTCATTATCTATCGGAAATGTCCCAGCTCTTGAAAGCCGCGTTGCTTGTCTTCACAACCATAGATAGGTTATAGGGTCATTGAATCTTACCTAATATTGTGTACCATTTCATGATATGTCAACGCGCAAAACATTTATTATCGTCTTTGGATAGTGTCTGATTTAGCATGAGGGAAAATTAAAAAAAAAAAGGGTCTGTTTTGCTGATTTTTTTGATAGGCCACCACATTTTAAAAATGTACACCTCCAACCATTTATTACCCCAGTGGAATACAAGAACGGACACGTGTAATATACGGTCGGAATGTGCATCGAGCAATACCGATGCACGCAACGGGTTGTTTTTTTTTACTAGAAAGACTTTATCTTTAATACTTCACTATACGTGCCATTAATAAATTGTATTATGTCACGTAAGTAAAAGTATTTTATTTTAGTAGGTCCAATTACTATTGGTGATACCATGTTACTACTGGGGCGAGATGGCGTGCTCAATTTGGGGGCTTTTTGGGAAGTAAAATGGGCTATCCCATTCCAGATTGATATTGAAGTTTGTTGTGATTTATTTTTGGGGGGAGTTCTTGAGAAGCAACTTCAAGAGGTAGAGAATATTCTTTCTAAAAGCAGCTAGCTAGTAACATGATCATGTTGAAGAGAGTTTCATCTTCATTGTGGTGGTGTATTATTTTGATTTTGATAATTTGAAACTCACATCCCGCAACTTTTTACTTTATACGACCAGGCTACAACCATTGTGGTGGTGTATCATTTACAACTTGAAAAAAAAAGGGTTATTAAAATTTTTCGGCGGCTGATGTTGACTACTTTATCCCCGATTTTACTTGTTTGTGCAAGTGTTTTGTATATACGTTTCTTTAGCCACTATCAGCTCACAAGTATTTTTTTATTGATTGGCCATTATTGGACTGCTTTTATCCAAAATCTAAATTGGAGGCTAACACGAATATATATATATATATATTTCCAAAATCTAATATATATATATATATATATTTTTTCCTGTCCATCCAAAATCAAACACCGTGTACATTACCGTGTTTAGACTATTTAAATCTGAAATTAATATTTTCATTTAAAAATTAAAATTAATAAAATAGCAATGATACTAGCAACCACTGACTCTTTGTAATAAAATAGCAATGATACTAGCAACCACTGAATCTTTTTCCAAAGAATTAATAATCCGTTGGCAACATATCTGTCATGCTTACCTATCAAATAATTAAATAAAGAAAGAAATAATCCCTGAAATTCTCTAGAAGTCTATGGAATCTGATACGCATAAAAGAGAAAAGAGAGAAGGAATGAAATCTGATTGAAAGGCATAAGTGTTGGTCAGCAATACCATCCAATGCAGCTGCGGCTACTAGCCTACTACCACCCCTCTCTGTTGTTGCTCTAGAGATCTCTCTGAAACTAGTTGTTTTCAAATATGAATTGTGGCAGTGTTTTTCTATTTTTGCTTAATTATTATTATTTACTCTGATTTTTCCTACTCAGAAAAGTAATCTATTTATAGAGTTGAAGTAACTCAGGTCATGCCATTTATGTGGATACGGGTAAATTAAATAATGCCACGTTAGTTGTAACGGACTTCTGTTTCCAGCTTATATATTACGTGTACGGCTTATTATTAATGGTCTGTCGAGTGTTTGTCAACAATATAATGAATAATATATCTAATCACATAGATATCGCTTAAACCAAAGACTTGGAATTTTTATTTTTCAGTAAGGTAAACCTAAGACACTTGCATCACAAAAACACGTCCCCAGTTAAACAACAACGTTTATAGTAGAATCATTTTTTAACAAAGAATTGGGAGGCTGATTATGAAGAAGATAATCAATGTAAAAATAAGGAGAAGATAATCCTAGGTGGAAAGATGAAAGCTTAATTACTTCTACAACAACAACAATCAAGTCTTTCCCAACCATTTGATGTGTGCTACATGGATACTGTGTTTTCATTCCGATCTATTTAAGGTCAAGTCAGTCCGATGAAAGCTTTCTACTGGCTCCGAGACAAATGTGGCAAAAAAGCTGGTCAAATGGTAATTAGCGGGGAACCAATGATCCTGGGGCCACGTAATAATTTCTCTGAACCTTGAGCTCTCTTCAGGCTTGTCAGTCACGAAGAACACAGCTAAAAAACATCAAGACACAACATGTATTTGTGTCATCTGGCGAAACTATATAGCAGTAATCAGCTCATTCTGGTAGACCGACTTGAATTACACTCACTGTATAATGTACTCTATGAAGATGTAAAAGCAACAAGTAATTGCAGTTTTGAATTGGAGATACTAACACAAGTCCATGCAAACTGAACCAAGCTAACAGTATTCTAAGGATCAAATCATCAACAACATAAAGAAACAAACATGTTATATCTAATGAAATCAAACAAAGCTGGATTGCTTGAATATAGACAATTCCAAACAATAACAGAACGATCTCATCAAAACACACACACCTTGCACTCAAACAAAAACATAAATATACCCAACTACGTGATGCAAACTGAATGACTTCAGAATGCATAAATTAAGCAGAGATAACAATTTCAGAAGCACAATGATCAAATATCACCCGAGATAGGAAAAATCCGCATGCTTTTCACTTGGCTTGCACCTAATTCTTGATTTTCAACAACCTGCATCAAAAATTAGCCATTTAGTTTATATACCTAAATAGTAGATTTTAGAATATTCAGATAACCTACCATGAGAAGCTTCTATTGTGTGTGGGGAAAATGATAGAGCTTCTGTTGTAGCAAGGAAAAAGCAAAGCCAAATAAATACTAGTTTTTAGAATATTCAGATAACCTACCATGAGAAGCATCTAAATGTCAATATACCTATATGCAATATCTTTAGTGAGTGCTTTTACCATAGCCCAAAGTAAAGAAGCAGCCTCCATTTTCAAAATACAGAGGCCTTTAGTAGGAAACAGAGGCCTCAATTTTTGTGCATTTTCAAAATACAGAGGCCTCAATTTTCGGTGCATTTTCAACAAGTCTATTTTGATTTGCAGAGATTAATTTCAGATTGGAACTGGCCCAACGATCAATACTCATCAGCTATTCTATGCTAGCTCTTGACTTATGCCATTTTTTGGTCAAACTCCATCATTCAGGACCCCTATTTTTGTGTTTATTCAGTCTATTGGAAGACCGACGATTTTTTTGGAAATTTTTGAAGGTTGAAACGGACTCAGGTTGTTCTGATCCTTTATTCTGATTCTTTATATTTCTCTTAATTTAATATTTAAGATCTTATCCCTAGTTTTTTACGAAATTTAAAGATAGTGCCAAATTGGATTGTTTTTAGAATTTTATATCTGTATAAATAGTAGTCATAATATTCAAGAATTATTATTATTCGTCTTTTCATAAACTGTGTAGATTCAAAGTTGTTCCTTCGTTTCCATCCATAACTTCACTATGTGAAAATGTCACCGTATTTTTAAGTCTATGAGGTATGAGGTGAAGACAGGAAGCCTTTTAGAGGCTACTCTCTCTTATATAATTTTATATCCCTTGTTCTTACGAGTCTTGACCAGAAATCTGAGTATACTAAACTCAAAGTTCCACATGGATTATCATTCATTTTCGCCCAAGTTTCCTAACAAGTTCTTTTTAAAGAAAATATGGCTCTAAAATAAGAACCTAACAACATTAGGACAAGTGTCGATATAACTTTAAGCTTATTTGAGAATATATAATGAATAATTTAGGCAAAATATTGGCATCAATGCAATATTAATGTATAATTTTATTTTATAAAGATTGTTAATTAAAATGACAAAAATTATTATTCCAAATTTATAAATTATCATAGCGGATATTATTATTTTCGACAGAGAATAAATAGCAGGCGCATTTAGTGAAAACTTAAATAGTTGTGTGAAATGCTTTTAATTTTCAATTATGCATAAGCCTCAAGTGGTTATCAAAACATCCTATGTTCCTTATCTACAGTATTGGTTTGATAACTGAATGCAATATAACTCTTAAGTGAAACTTAAATAATCATGCGAAATGTTTCATCAATGATGCATACACTTAGAGTTGTTGTCAAAGCATCCTATGTTTCTTGCCTAGGGTATTGGTTCGATAACTGAAAGCAACATAACTCATTTCAAAGTCTGTTTACTTTTCATCAGGGCAGATTCAATGCAACATAAGGCATAAGACAAATACTCTAAAAGAGTCCTTTAAAATCACACATCCTGGGGGCTGTTGGGATTTGATGCTTGGGTTGTTTGGGATTTTATGCTTGGGTTGTGCCTAGATCCTCTAGAGGGTTGATTGAGACTTGGAGAGGCTTTTCAGTAGGGGCTCTCATTTGGGACGTCTAGAGGGCTACGTCTCTTTGTATTTGTTGGTGCATTTGGCACGAAAGAAATCGGATATATTTCGATGAAAAGAAGAAGCATATCTCTATGCTTAAATTCTCTATTATTTTCCCTCTTTTTTGTTGGGTTTCAGAAAGAGATTATCGATCTGTAGAGGAGATTGTTGTTTTTTTAACCTCTTTGAAAGCTCGAGGCGCTTTTGGTCTTGTGTGTTTATTTAGGATTCGCTCTTTTTTTAAGCGCTTTTAATAAATTTTACTTATAAAAAAAAAAAAAAAAAAATCACACATCCTGTGGCATAAGGTTATATCCAAAAAGAAATTGATGATAGATCTCATGCATAATTACTTTTGAATGTTTTCTACCAAACTATATGATAATAAATGCAGAGGACAAATGAAGAAACCCATCAGTGATTCAGCATTACCGTCCAGTCATCCCACATGATGGAAACATAATAAATGGCATGCGTAGGACAACTTTCAATAACAAACGACATAATTGAACTTACCAAAAAATAATAAATTACATAATTGAAACCGAAGAAGAAGAATTGAAAAGCTAACAAAATACTCTGCAAATTATTTATTATTTTAATATGAAGAATGACAAGTATGATCAAAATTACTTGATATTATCTCAAAAGAAAAAAAGAAAGTGACAAAGTACTGGGGCTCATTCCATTGCCACTAATGCCTTATCCTTTTTTCAATCACAACTGTATCCCCTTGTTGTTTCTCTATTTTTCGAGATGTTACAAGTCTATTGTATCTCAAATTTCGATGACAATGTTACATAACCGTAAATTGTTGCTCTAGAGGAGAGTAAGATTCAAGAATTTAGGTTAAAGAAGATTGAATTGAATAGATTTCTAATAAAATTAATAAGAATTTCAAAACAATTAAGAAAATTCATGCAAATAAGAGAAGTAACATAATTTTTAAAAAAAACCAGTAATTTGATTAAAGGGCTTCTAATCCAACGGTATAAATCTTTTCTCCCAAAATGAGGAGATCGAGGGCTCAAGTCTCACTAGGGACATTGGAATATATAATGGATGTATGTGTTTGCTTTAACTTTGAACCCTCATTAATTGAAAGAATTACTAAGTAGGGCACATAGGTGGACAAGCAAGTTCCTGTCTTATGCAGGTAGAGTCAAACTCATAAAATTCATACTTTTTAGTATTCAAACCTTCTGGTCCAATATCATCATGTTGCCTAAGAAGGTCAAAGATCAAGTCAACAAGCTATAGAGATATTTTTTCTGTGTTGGACTTGATCTCAGGGGCCAAAGTAGAAAAGAGTCTAGTCTGTAGACCCAAGTGGGAAGGTGTGTTGGGGTTCCCAAACCTGGAGTGAATTGGCAAAGCTCAGGCACATCAGGAATATTTTTTGCTCAAGCTCTCAAAGTATATAGGTTCAATGGATCCAAACTTGATCAAGAACATGAGTTTTTGGAGTTTAAAGGTTCATTCATAATCTCAATTCTATAAAAGCTCTTTATAATTCCCTTCCTATATCTGGTCCTACTGAGGATAAAATTTTGTTAGCTTCAAATCCTATCATTTTTTTTTTCTTCCTTAACACATCCTCTTGACTCAAATGGGACTTGAACCCTCCATTTCCTACTTTACAATATAAGGAAGTATCATTGGTGTTATGCTTTTTCTTTGATAAGTGAGTTTTAAAGTGTTTCCATCGGGACTGAATTTACAACCTTTTGGGGGAGGTGGAGTACAAATCACTCAAGTGAAAGCTTTGGTAGTTGAAAATTTATACGTTTATGAAAGGTAGTTTCAAAATTTATACTTTTTACTCAAGTGTGAATGTGTTTGAGAAAAAATATAGGACAAGAACCCTAGGCTATAATATAGAATTGTGGAAAGTTCGTAATTAACTGCTTTTAACTAATTTTTAAAAATAAACTAAAATCATTGAAATACAAACAATAGGTTAACAATAAAGCATATATTATATATATAGTTCAATCAATCCACCATAATCAATAAAGCATATAAAGCAAAATAAACCAATCACGCCAACAAAAGTTACAAAACACATTGATATGTTTTGCATGGAAACCCCAAGAAGAAAAATCACGGAACCTAGTCCAGGCTGATAAAATATACTAACGACAACGAATTGTTACAACTCGATCTTAACCGTTTTCCAAACCCTAAAAAACCCTAAGATGATCATTTTCCAACTCTTCACTCGAGTTTATATGCCATTCATCCGCTCCGTAAGATGCGCTTCTCACATGATCTGTTTCTCTTTAAGTACTTTGATGTTCTCAGGCTAGAAAACACGGACACACGTCAAAGTCGGACACGCCCCAACACATGTCAGGCAAGCCAAAAAACAAGTCTGAATTTTTATTTTTAATATTCTGACATGCCATGGATACATATCCAACACGCATGTCCCATTCTTGGGAATTTTTTACTATTATTTTTATAAGGCATGCTTGGGGATTTTTAAAAAAGTTTTAGAAAGAAAGCTAGGTTGAAATGCAAATATATATATGTGTGTGTGTGTGTGTGTGTGTGTGTGTGTGTGTGTGTGCATATAAGTAGGTTGAAATGTAAATATGAGGAGTTGATAATCATTACATAATTATTTAAAAAAAGTTGTTTTATAAAATAATTTATATTAAAACAATTAGATAAGTATGTTTATATAAAAGTTCCAAGGTTGAAAAACTCTTGGTACAATTATCCTTGACACTCTTTGGTTCTACTAATAAGCAGGGACGGACCAAAACCATTAAGCGAGGGGAGCAATAATGATATCTTTTAGTAATTTCAAGGGGGGCAATAGAAATATTTTAGGGGTATATAACTGAAAAATAATAGTTTAGTAAGGTAAATTAGGGAAAAAAATATATATATATTCATCCGTCCCTGCTACCTAGCTTCGATGCCCGTGGATGGTCTCTCTCTTTCTCTCTCCTCTTTTCTCTATTCTTCTCTGTCTTCCTCTTTTCTTTCTTCTCCTCCTTCACAAACCCTAGATACTTCTCTTGGCACAATTATCCTTGACACTCTCTGGTTCTACCAAGCAGGGACGGACCCAAATCATTAAGTGAGGGGAATAGAATATTTTAGGGGTATATAACTGAAAAATAACAATTTAGTAAGGTAAATTAGTAAAAATGAAAATATTCAGGGGGCAATTGCCCCCCTCATCCTAATGTAGGTCCCTGCTACTAAGCTTTGCTGTTGGTGGATGGTCTCTCTCTTTCTCTCTCCTCTTTTCTCTCTTCTTCTTTGTCTTCCTCTTTTTTTTCTTCTCCTTCTTCACAAACCCTAGATACTTCTTTTTTTCCTTTCACAACAAATTCTTTTTTGCATCTCTTTTTTCTTTTTACTCTCGTTTTCATGAACTTTTTCTCTTTTATGGATTCTTACCTTTATTTTTAATTAAACCCTACTTATTTTTCTAACAAAACCCTAATCCAATTTATTTCTTTCTTCTTAATTATTATTTTTTTATTTCTCTTTCTTAACCCTCTTTCTATTATTCTTTCCATTTCCTTGCAAAACAGATTTTTTTTTTTTTTTTTTCATTATTACGTTGATAAAAAAAAATTAATATTACTCTTAATTTCTTAAAGTACAAGATCACACACACACACACACACACACATATATTTCTTATTATACTCGTTCCGTCATGTCATCATGTCCATATCGTGTCGTATTATTCGTGTCTTGTATCCATTTCCATCCTTCTTAATCCTCATGCATGTATTCATCCAGGAGAGTGCTTAGGCTTTAATATCAATGAATGAATGCAAACTCATCAAACTACATGGAATGGTGAATATAAAATGTATAAAATCTAGCAGAGAAATTCAAAATTGTCCTCTAAACTTTACCATATATGAACTAAATATGCAGAGAGAGAGTAGTGTTAAGATTTCTTAGTTAATTGGAATACTAAGAGGTTTTTATATAGAGTTTAGAATCACAAGATAATTAGGGTCTTAAGAGTTTGATTTGAAAAGTATTGAGCCAAAGGTAAATCGGTAACCTTAGATCAATCCCTTAATCAATTGAAGTGCTCTATCATTCTCCAAATAGGATTTTAACATTAAGAAATTTTAAACAATTTTATGCATATCAAATAGCATTTTTATGAATCAAATATGTAAAATATGAAACCCTATTTGAATTCATGGACTTAATTGGTGGATTGAGACAATGTTTTCTTGAGATATATGAAAGTAAAATAAACAATTTAATAAAATTGTCAACCTATCGGAATAAAAAAATAGAGTAGAGTTAGAAAATTCTCAAGATCCGAGTAAATCCTGTGAATTACATATATTTTAGGGAGATTGTGAAAGCTATATATTTTGTATTGGCTAATTTCGTTGTCAAAACAAGTCCAATCAAGTTGTAATTTTTCGGTTCAAAATTTCAAGATTGAAGATCGGATGCGGATTTGAAGTTCAAGTGTTTATACTTTAATACACTCCGGGATGATGAGAACAATATTTTAGAAAGGTATGTGAGTGTGTGAGAACACTTAGGAAGTTTTCAAAGTTTGAAATCGTTAGGAAGTTCACTTTTGTCCATTGGGAACCGGTAGCAAACTGTTGTTTTCGAAGGATTCTTCGTCGTCCTTTATCGTAGAGATGTTATTTATTTTTTGGCAATTATCGTAGAGATGATGAGAACAATATTTTAGAAAGGTATGTGAGTGTATGAGAACACTTAGGAAGTTTTCAAAGTTTGAAATCGTTAGGAAGTTCACTTTTGTCCATTGGGAACCGGTAGCAAACTGTTGTTTTCGAAGGATTCTTCGTCGTCCTTTGGGATCCTTTTTGGTCCAGACTTCCTTCCAAAAGCCTATGCACAAATTTTACTTGTTTTACAATTATTCTTTGTGAGATATTATTTATTTTTTGGCAATTATCGTAGACATAACAAGTCCAAGTTGAGTTGTAATTTAAATTACTTGTTCTACAAGTCATCAAGTTCAACAGGGATTCCACAACTGGGAAGGAGTTCAAACTTACCTTACTTGAAGAGTTTGTGATGAAAAGGGTAAGGACATTACATTAGGAAGGAATATGAACAAGGTTGGGCATTCTACACTTTCTATGTTAGTATACAATTTCCGTAGAATGATCCAAGGCTGAAGGAATTTGAAATCCGAGTCTGCCAACCTTGAACCGGTTCAGCTTCCTTGAACCGGTTCAAGATGTTCAAGTTTGACACACTGCCAAAGTTGAACTGGTTCAACTTTCCTTGAACCGGTTCAAGACCTCCTGTTTGTAATACAACTTTAGTTTCCTTTTTCTAATTAATTTCCCAGTTGGTCTAGAATTGTACCAACTCCTATGCACGAAATTTACCTTATTTTCAGAGGGATTAGGTCATTCTATAACCTATATAAACCATGTCATATACATTGGTTTATTCACGGCTTTTACATTATAATTCAGATATTATTCAAAGCCTTAGGAAGTTTATTTCTCTCAAAAAATCAAAATTGATTTTTCTGTTGTCTTCCTAGAACCCACATATATTCACCTAGTGAGTCTAGAGTTAGGGTGTTCGAATCCTGATCATGATCATACAGTTGTATTAACATCGATCAGACAAAGAAAATCTTCTTCTACATAATTCAGACAATTGAATAACAGAGGTAAACACAGTCACACTTTGGAAGGGTTGGAGCATTCGCGGAGTGCTGTCTGATCTACCTGCTACTCTTCTACAAATATCAAGTGTAAGCCTGAGATCAAGTTGCTGTTGGACGGGGAGTCGCAAAGCCAAAGGATCGTCAGCGGTTGGTGTGGTGTAAAACGATAGGGTGTGAGCCAGAGTCAAAGTTCAGTATACTTTCTTCCAAGCATAGTGGACTGGTTTACTTTGGACTGCACAAGTCCACGAAATTTTTCCCTTAACAGTTGACATATTTTATCAACTGGGGATTCCTCGCTAAAATCTTGGTGTCATCTCTAACTCTATACTTTGCTTTATTTTATCTGCATGTGATTAACTGTTTAATTGCTAAAATATAAAATAAGTAAAGTAGTTAAGGACACAGATCTGTTTTACAATACCTAAAACTTTCCGGTTTACATTCCGCTGCGTACGACTCACATTCTTAGGTCTTCTAAACTTCTATATAATGCCTCTTTCATTCAACATTGAGGTATGGCTTTAAGGAACAAAAATTCATTATTTTGATAAAGCCTTTTTGAGAGAGATTTTTTTAGGAAATCAAATCTGATTTTATTTTTTAAAGCATACACAGATATACACGAGTGATTTAGCTGTGTTGTTCTCTATCTCATCGGAATTAGAGCTTAATTGAAGATTCAGAGATTCCGAAAAAGCAGTTTTATTTCTTCTATATCAAAGTTCAGATCTTGAAGAATAGGGGTGAAGTGATCACACTTTGAAAAGAGTGAAACGATCACACTTTGAAAAGAGTGAAACGATCACACTTTGAAAGGGTCAAAGCATTCAAGGAGTGTTATTTGATCTAACCAGCAATCCTTCTACAGATATCAAGAGTAAGCCTGAGGTTAAGAGCTGTTGGACAGGACGTCGCAAAGTCAGAAGATTGTAAGCAATTGGTGTTTGGTAGAACGATAGGGTGTTAGCCTGAGTCAAAATACACTGTACTTTGTTTCAAACATAGTGGATCGGTTTACTTTGGACTGCACAGTTCACAAGATTTTTCCCACAACAAATGGCCTATTCTACTAATTGGGGTTTTCTCGCTAAAAATCCTAGTGAGAAAACCTGAGGTCAAGAGCTTTTGGACGGGACGTCGCAAAGTCAGAAGATTGTCAGCAATTCGTGTTTGGTAGAACGATAGGGTGTGAGCCTGAGTCAAAATCCATTGTACTTTATTTCAAACATAGTGGATCGGTTTACTTTGGTCTGCACAGTTCACGAGATTTTTCCCATAACAAATAGTTTATTCTACTAATTGGGTTTTTCTTACTAAAAATCCTAGTGTCATCTCTATAACTCTACTTACTCTACTTTTCAGTATTAATCTTTGTGATTGTGGAAGTTTAATTGATCATATCACTTAGGTAAGTTAATCAATCACAAAAATTGAACAAGTTGACCTATTAATCTCATCTAGGTCATTAAAGAAGTTAATCACAATTAAATCAACTAACAGCCTCTGCACCGCATAACTTACAAATCCCATAAAAATAAAAATAAAAAACTGTTTGAAATAACTCACTGTTCAAAATAATAAACCACATTAAAATAGGGATTCAAAGCAAAAGTGCAGGGTTCATTTTGTAACAATGTCAACCCTACTATTCTTAGAATGAGCATTTCAAAATTTCTTGAAAAAGGCTTTCCAAATTTCAATTTCATTTGGTGCCAAAAAAATATATATAAACAAAAACATAAAAAGAAAAAGGAAAAAAAGGAACATTACAAACTTCTATACGAGCCATTTATTAAAGTCTGAAAAAGTCAAGCTACCAACGTGCATGGCTTTGATGCTTTTGTGTTCCAGGTGTTTTATTGACCCACCTAACAAAATAACTGCTCAAGCAACCAGAGACACTGCTAGAGCTCGACAACGCACCGCTCCACTGCCAGATGGTGCGGCAAGAGCGATGGTGAGGCAGATATTTAAATGGCATTGGTGGAACACAGACAGAGTCAGACATAGAAAAATTGGGGATTTTAAATTGAAGTCCATTAGAATCTCTCTCACAATTGATGAAAGTGCGTTCTTTCCATAGAGTGACCTACACCTGGCTTGGCCACAGATGTGCTAGAAACAAGGGAACCAAGGGAAAAACAAACAAAGAGACAGCCAGCCGATCCTCATTCACAGCAATCCATGCAGGGTATCATAACAACACAATAGACCACACATAAAATAATCCCAAATAGTTATGCTTTTTTAGATTCCAAGAAATCAACCGTATACTCATGGTAGCAATAACACGTAAATCCAAAAGTTAATACGAGAAACTTTTAGAACAGCATCACAGAGTAAAACCCATGTGAGTAAAGGAGAAACAAATAAGCACAAAAAACAGAAACAGTAGAATAAATATTAGTAATGCAGAATTAATTGAAAAATAAGTGTATTTGGTTAGTACTTACCGGAGAAAAACATGTGCTAAGAGGAACTAGCTAGCTCTTCAAGGAACTCGGTTCTTTCCCTTCCCCTTCTGGTCGGAGTTCCGGCCGCCATCCCCGTAGCAGAGCTGCAAGCGACCATCAAGTCCAGCTGGGAACTGATGGTGATGATGATTGATCTCCACAGGTGCAGCATTTGGAGCTGCAGTCCCGTGGAAGAAAGATACATTTGATCCGTCTATGGGAGAATACCTCTGAAGATGAGACAACAGAGAAGATGAATTGGACTGAAGGGTCCCCCTATTGAAACCAGCAAGGCCCGAAGAGATTGTGAAGTTAAGGTTGTAATCACTCCCGCCGGCGGCAGTTACCATATGGTCCGGGACAAAAGAAAATTGCTGCAGCTCGGAATGGTGGTCTCCTGCAACATTGAACGGCGAAACCGTCATGGATTGTGGCAGGGAATTTCCCAAATTGATTTGTCCTAAAAACCCAGACGATGATTGCTGGGTCCGGGATGAGGACGGACCAATAAGTCCTGAAGAAAAGTAATCCATCGGAGTTGAAGGAGACCACTGCCGGGCTGACTTGTGAAACAAATTAGGCTCTCCACCACCATGGTTTTGTTGAGATGATCCATTGGGTGTGGTGGTATTGTTATTAAAGTTGCCTATGCCACCAGTAAGAAGTTCGGTGAAAGAACTTTGCGAGATAGGGTTCCCATTTGGGTGATTAGCTACACAAGGCTCATTGTCTTTCTCCTTTTCCTTCCCGGCTGCCCTTTCCCTCGCCCTTTCTCGGGCTTTTATCCGGCTCTCAGACCGGGAAAGAGATAAACCGGAGCCCTTACTGGTCTCAGAAGTGCTACTACCAGTGGATTTTGACAACGAAATGTGCTGCTGTTGCTGCTGATAATTGGGATCACCGTCCAATTCCGCGTCTGCGGAATCCCCAAACCCTTGTTCGGTGCCCGCACTGGACCTCTTTTCATCGCTGAGCTGCTGCGGTGTATCAGGAAATGAAGTGCTAATTGAAGGAAGCTCAGCAATGGAACTAGCAGCCTCTTTTAGCAGCCAATCAACAGCCTTGCTGGGTTGATCGCAACCAAGACGATCTTGAAGATCATAGAACTGTATAGCCGTCTGAACGGAGAGGCGAACTCGACGGTCCCGGAGCCCTTTCGAGGTCAATACCTTGCTGTGCCGATCTTTCCCTCCGGAGGCCCGAGAAACCCTAACTATCCTCGAAGATGGCCACCCACAAAGCCGGCCAAGACCGACACCCATATCAGTACTCCCACCGCCACTTCTCCCACTTCTTTTAACCTCTCCATCTTCCTCATCATCTGGGTGTTGCTCTTCTCCCCTTCGCCCTATCTTGTGAGAATCAATTCTACCGTTACCGATCCTCGGAAACTTACACCCCTGAGTTTGAATCTCATCCACCTCCATACCGCTTCATACCTCTCTCAACACTCAGCAGGACTTAAAAATGAAGCCTTTTTTTTTTATATAGTTCCCTGACTTATCCACCCAGTTTTTAGTGTGAGAGAGTCTACAAAGAGGGGCTTTGTGGAATCTGAATTAGGGTTTGGAGAGAGAAAGTATTGTGTGCAGGTGGGGGGCTGTATGTGTGGGTGTCCTTTGCATTGATGACGTTTATGCAGAGAGTACTTTGGCTTTTCTAGTTATATATACATATATGTATATCTAAAGGCCTTTTTTTACTCTTCGATATATCACGTTCGTCCACAGGCCGATCATGTCAGAGTGAGGCTCCGTTTAAAGCTTTATGAGTGCCTTTCAAAAGTATAGCAAAGCCGGTGAATTTGCTCAGACTACTCTCGCCAAGCCTGTGAAAGAAAGAAAAAGAAAAAGTATCAGATGCTGAGAGTCGTACGCTGCTTTTACACTCTCACTACTGCTACCTATTATGGCGGTGCTTAAAAAGATCTGACTTACTTATATGCAAGTACATGTATATATATACACGTTCATAGCACCTTCAAGTACCTAACCAAAGTTTTTTTAAAGATGATAAACTTTCAGAAAAATATAGGAAGAAAATTAAAAGGCTAAATACAAAGTCTATACCTTTCTATCCATAACCTCTACCTTATCTTCGATCTGAGCTTTTCCTGTTATGAATTTAAGCTTCTATGAAGCAGTAATTGCGAACAGGTTGGGGCTGATCTGTGCCTTTTAAGCTTCGTATTTAGAGCTTAGCTGACCCTAGAAGTTGCAGACATTACAATAAATCACTGTGCTTAAAGGTCATATATCAACCACAAAGGAAGCATATAATTCTAAATTTGAATATATATATATATATTTAAATATCATATAGTACAAATATAGGATAAAAGGATTATCTATTATCAAATGTTTCTTAATGAGATGCAGTTACAGCTAATAGATCTGTGTGTTTCAGTTCCTTCCAAAACATTAAATTCGCAGCTGATCAGTCCGTGTTACCAAACAAGAAATCAAACAGAAGCTCTTAATTTTAAATCTGAAAAATCAATTTCGCAAAGTAAAACGACAAAGAATATTCACAAATTTCAATACTTTACAGTCTCCATTGCAAAAGCTTCAAAGACCGAATCAAGAAAATTAACAAAACTACAGCTGAGAACACCTAAAAATTAAAATCTATAGAGTATAAATCATAACTTACTTATCAATATATATATATATATATATATATATATATATATTTGTCGTTTTCAGCTATTTGAAGAACATTAACACTCCGATTAGCTTCTGAATCTAAACAAAACTTGAAGAATTTAATGGCTGTCAGTCCGTACAACAAAATTCAGCTCCATTTCGAAGAGCTTTCAACGAATCGAAGAAAAAGAAACAAAATGAAAGAAGGACATAAAGCGGTTTGAAGAGGAGGAGACAAGAGAAGACCTAGTTCGAAGTATGTTTCCCGAATTTACTGTGCTGTTGCTTCCTCAAGTTTCCGAACTTCAAAGTCTCTCTCTCTCTCTCTAACCCTCTCAAAATGCTCACTCACGCACATACTACTTTTTCTCTCTCCGCACTTTCGTTCCCGGCAAGTCATAAACCGCCATTAACTTCTTATCTGACCTCGAATTTACCTGAAAAATATTAGGGCTTTTTGACTGGAAAAACATCAAAATTTGAATAATAACCGAAATTATAAAAATATATATAGAGAGAGAGTGTGTGTGGTAAGGAGCTCGAGGTTCTATGCCCTAAGCCTTCCTCCGTTGGAGCAAATCACCGGGCTTATCGGTAAAGGACAGACACAGCGCCGTTTATCCCCTTAAGTGTGCCCGATTCACCAGATTGCCCTCCTGTGTTTTATGAATTTACCTATTTGGGCTTCTGTTGTGGATTAACTAGTACAGAGTAACAAATCACTTTCGGTTTTTATACGAGTAAAAAAACCTGCAATTACCTGTAAATTTTAACAAAATATCCAAGTACACATGAATTGATATAGACTATCACTTTTTAAACAAAATGTTACAAATATTTGCATATATAGAAATGTAAATGCATGTGCATATAGTCTGTATAATCTCTATATATGTATGTTCTTGTGTATTAACAAGTAATGCTAAAAAACATTCACACTTCACACACAAAAAATACATCACCACCGTCGTACGTCTTGTTCATTCTTATTTTAATTCCATATGATGAGGTTGACTACATAAATCTCTGATCTTTAGAATACATTCCACATTGCCAAAGAGATGAGTTTTAGCATTTATTTGTGTGAATACCCTTTAAAAATATAGACTAGTTTTGAACAAAACCTTGACAATTGAGATGAGAGTGTACAAAGTGAACAATATTCATACACATTGATATGAGTCATGACAAATTATATGAGAGCCAATCCCCAATCGAAAATGGAAAGGTGCACAAGTCCATGTAGGTCAAGGCAGGGAGGACGTCGCTGGGACCAAGAAGGATGGTTATGACATTCCACATTGTTTGCAGCGAGATGCTGGATCTCAAAAAAGGTGTGTGTAAAACAAACAATATCTACACGTAGGTGAGGGGCAAGTTGTGACGACATACCATTTACCTAAGTTATATTTAACTTTTCAAAGTCATTTTTATTAACCTTATCCCATATAGTTTGGTCACTTTCATTGTGCATGTCTCTACGTCTGCTACGTGATCTCTAATTTTCTCACCAAATACATTAAAAAAAAAAAAAAAAAAAGTATATAAATGTGTGTGCACGCAAAGAGGGAAGGAGAGATGTCTTTGTGATTTTGTTATATGTATGCATGTATGAGAAAAGGGGTGGTTGATTTAGGGCTTGTCAAGTTTAAAATTATATTGCAAAATTCTTCTCTTAAAAGGGAGTGTCATCGTAAATAATTGCAGCCAATAAATGGGAAAGTCGTCGGTCCATTTTATTGGAAATTTTTGTCTCAAAAAAATTTCATATCCAAATGACAAGCTTATGCACGACATATAATAATCCAAATATGCACATATTATTTTATATTGACAAGCCTAAATTGAAAATTGAAATACTTTCTTAAATTTGAGTATTACTCTTCTCACTTTATGGCTCGCAAATTATTTGTTAGCTATAGTCACTATCCATATTAACATATTCCGTATCACATTCCTGCATACTATGACAAAGATATTTGGTATATTTGTTAAGAATCATCACTAACATGAAAATTATTATTTATTAAACATATAACATAATGTTGAATTCTTGGCTCAATTTCATCAGCACCATAACATCACCCGTGACATCATTCAACTTGCCCTCCAAGTATATGTGTTCAACAAGCATTATTCTTGGCAGCCAAGGAGTGTATTATGCAAGCTACCTCATGCTTGGTCTCCAAGTCCACGAACAGTGATGACATGTTGGCTATAAATAGCCTTGATCTCCATGGTTCAAAGCATCCAACAAATTGAGTGAGTTTGTTTAGTAAAGAAAAACAAAGTGTGTGAGAGTTTCGGGTGTAATTGGGTTTTGGGTGTGAGCCACTTAAGTATTGTATCTCTTTATTTCCATGGTAAAATATTGTTCTGTCTTCTCTTCGTGGATGTAGGTATAGCCGAACCACGTAAATCCTTATCTCGTTTGTGTGTGTACTTTATTTATTTTCTTGTCGTTATTTTTTTTCTCTTGTTTTCAGAAACTCCTACTCGATCCTTATTTCGTAACAAACTGGTATCAGAACTCGAGTTCGTGTATTGTGTATAGATATTGTTCACAAATACAGTACTATTCCCCGAAAAAAAAATTTGGGAGTTTTTTGAGATGTCGACTAGATATGAGATTGAGAAATTTGATGGCAAGATTAGATTTATTTTTTGGCGCATCAAGATACAGGCCCTGCTAACCCAACAAAGTCTAAAGAAGGTGCTGTTCGGGAAGGATAAGTTGCCAAAAACTATGTCCAATGAAGACAAGGATGAAGTCGATGAAAAGGCGCGCAATGCGATTCTCCTGAATTTAGCTGATGAGGTGCTGCGTGAAGTTATTGATGAAGACACGGTGCCAAAGTTATGGCTGAACTTAGAAAGTCTGTACATGACGAAGTCTCTCACCAACAGATTTTACTTGAAACAGAGACTCTGCGCCCTTCGTATGAAGGAAGGTATGCCTCTTAAGGAACATGTTGATAATTTCAATTTTATTATTATGGATTTGAAAAATACTGATATTAAAATTGATGAAGAAGATCAAGCCCTTATTTTGTTGTATTTTTTGCCTCCTTCATATGAGCATTTTGTTACTACATTGCTTTATGGAAAAGACACCATTAGTATGGAGGATATTAAATCCTCACTGAACTCTCAAGAGTTAAGAAAAAAAGTGTTTGGGAATAATGGAGATGAACAGGCCGAGGGTCTGGTTGTGAGGGGAAGAAGTGAGAAAAATGATTCTGGTAGTAGGGGCAAATCGAGATCTAAATCTAGATCTCCTAAAGATATTGAATGTTATTATTGTCACCAAAAAGGGCACATTAAGTGGAATTGTCCAAAATTAAAAAATAAGAAGAAAGATAAAAATGACAAAAGGAATTTAAGAATAAATCCACTAGTAATTCTTCTGATATTGCTGGGGGTGCTGAGGAAAGTTCATCGGATGTCGAAAATGTTCTTTCAGTTTCTATCAGTGATTGTCACTCTAGTAGTGAATGGGTTCTTGATTCTGATTGTTCATATCATATGTGTCCCAATAGGGACTGGTTTTCTACTTACCGTTCTGTTAATGGTGTTACTGTCTTAATGGGGAACGACAATCCCTGTAAAATTGTTGGAATAGGCACAATCCAAATTAAGATGCATGATGCTATTGTTAGAACTTTAACTAATGTTCGGCATATTCCAGATTTGAAAAAGAATTTGATTTCTCTTGATACTCTTGACTCTAATGGTTACAAGTTTTCAGCTGAATGTGGAGTTTTGAGAGTTTCTAAAGGTGCTCTTACTATGTTTAAGGGAAAACAGAGAAAATGCCTCTATTTTTTGCAGGGCAGTACTGTGATAGACGCTGCTTCAGTATCTTCTTCAATTGATCAAAATTCAGAAACTACCCATCTATGGCATATGCGTTTAGGGCATATGAGTTAGAGGGGTTTGACAAAATTGAGCAAACGAGGTTTGCTAGGTGGACAGAAGACGGAAAACTGGACTTTTGCGAGCATTGTGTCTTTGGAAAACAGAAAAGACTCAAGTTCAGTACAGCTGTTCACAGGACCAAGGGCACTGTTAATTATATTCATTCAGATCTTTAGGGTCCTTCCAGAGTTCCCTCTCTTGGTGGTTCTCGACATATGTTGACTTTCATTGATGACTTATCCAGGAAAGTCTGGATCTATATCTTGAAACAAAAACATGAAGTGTTCCTTAAGTTTAACCAGTAGAAGGCCATGATTGAAAAGCAAATCGGAAAGAAGATCAAGCGTCTCAGAACAGATAATGGTTTAGAATTTTGCTTAGAAGAGTTTGACGAGTTCTGCAGTAATAAAGGCATTGTCAGACACCATATAGTTCGAAAGACTCCACAACAGAATGGTGTAGCAGAACACATGAATAGAACTCTCTTAGAAAGAGCTCGTTGTATGTTTTTCAATGCTAGGTTGTTTAAAGGATTTTGGGCTGAAGCAGTCAACACAGCTTGCTATCTGGTGAATAGGTCACTATCAACTGCTTTTAAGTGCAAAACACCTGAAGAGGTATAGTCTAGTACTCCTGCTGATTATTTTATTTTAAGAGTTTTTGGATGTCAAGCTTATGCTCATATTAATGAAGGAAAACTTAAGCCTAGATCCAAGAAATGTATTTTTATTGGCTATGCATCCAGGGTGAAGGGATACAGGTTGTGGTGTCCTGATCCCAACTTACCTAAGTTTATTACCAGCAGAGACGTAACTTTTGATGAGTTTGTTTTACTTCACCCGAGAAAGGAGACTTTTGTTACAGGTGAATCTCAGGGTGTTAAGCAGCAGGTTGAGCATAACTTTGAAGCTCCAGAGAAACAAGTCAACACTCCAGTTCAGCCCAATATTGAAGAGGTGCGGGATGATCAAGTACCAGATGAGCAACAGTATAGTATTGCTACAAGGAGACAGAAAAAGCAGATTTAACCTCCTTAGAGGTATGCTTATGCAGATTTAGTTGCTTATGTTTTGTCTGTGGCAGAAAATATTGAAGATAAAGAGCCTTCCACCTGCCAAGAAGCTGTTACAGGAAATGAATCTGCCAAGTAGACTGTTACTATGAATGAGGAGATTAAATATCTTCACAAAAATCAGACATGGGAGCTAGTGAAACCTCTTAAAGGCCAGAAGACTGTTGGTTGCAAATAGGTCTTTAAAAAAAAGGAAGAAACTCCAGGTGTTGAAGATGCAAGGTACAAAGCACGTTTGGTGGCAAAAGGTTATAATTAGAGAGAATGTGTGGATTTCAATGAAATATTCTCACCAGTTGTGAAACACACCTCTATCCGCGTATTGCTTCCTATGGTTGCTCTATTTGACTTAGAGCTTGAGCAACTTGATGTCAAAACAGTTTTTCTTCATGGTGAGCTTGAAGAAGAAATTTATATGCATCAGCCAGAGAGGTTCATTGTTCAGGGAAAGGAAAACAACGTTTGTTTGTTGAAGACATCCTTGTATGGGTTGAAGTAATCTCCAAGGCAGTGGTACAAAAGGTTCGACACTTTTATGGTTGGATATGGCTATTTGAGAAATAGCTATGGTAGTTGTGTCTACTACCGGAAGCTCTCAGATGGTTCTTTTGTGTACTT